AACACCTTTAGAGGGCAGCGGTGAGTAACGTTTGTTTATTTGATGTTTGTTAATAACTCCTTTAAATACAGAAATCCTGAGAGAGAGTTTCTTCTGAATTGAAGGGTATTAATAGGGAGTTTGCCCCCCCTTTGCTGCATTAACAGTCTCTACTCTTCTGTGAAGGCTTTACTCTAGATATTGTAACATTGCTGTGAGGATTTGATTGCATTCATCCACAAGAGCATTAGTGAGGTTGGATGGTCAGTTCTGGACCTCCACCTTATCCCATTACTCCACAGAATGCCGTTCCACTGCTCCACAGCCCAATGCTGGGGGGCTTTATACCTCTCTAGCTGACGCTTGGCATTGAGCATGATGGTCTTAGGCTCATGTGTGGCTGTTCTAGAGTGTCTCATTATAATATTCTATTCTAGTAAGGATGCACTGCTGTATGAGAATCCACTCGAAACTTTGACTCTCTACTATGTGCCTCTACTAATGCCCTGAGGGTATGAACCTGACTCCAAAAGCCCAACACAGTCCTTCTTTCTCATGGCCATCTACCTCTCCACTACTTATATGGAGTGTTGACAGTGGAATCGTTATTTACTTTGTATTTGTGTGTGTGTGTGTGTGTATGTATGTACAGTACTGTGTAAAAGTCAGAGACCACCCTAAATTTATGCAATTTCCAGTCAAAACAACCATTACATACTATTAAGTTATTCATTTTTGCAAGAGATATTTGTGAGGGCATTAGATATAAGCAGAAGATGCAACCAACTTCTAAGACTGAACTTTGGAGGTGTGGAAAAATATCCCTGCAGATTTCTTTGGGAAACTGAAAGCAAGACTCCTGAAAAGAATAGAAGCTGTACAAAGGCAACTGGACACATTAAATGATGAAAAAATATGATGTGCAAGATACATCTTCTGGATGTGCTGGGACGCATCGTCAGTGATGTATCCTGGGATCCTCGGGTGTTTCGGGTCTTTCAACATCAGACACCCTTGCCCAGGCGACCCAGCCGGGGTTGATCAGGCCCCGACTTGTGTCCCAGCAGCAACTGCCCACGAATCAGCCCTCTTGATCCAAAGCCACCTGGTGGCTTTCTCTGCAGCTTCACTCGCAGATCGAACAGCCCTCCTCTTTGACACCCCCCGTAATGCCCAGTTGGTTGAGGACTTTACAGAGTGAGCGTCCTGCAAAGCCTCTACAGCCCACCTCTATAGGCTCGTAGTATGTCTTCCAGCCTCTGTCCTTGCACTTTTCCACCAGCTCCTGGTACTTGGCGCATTTCCTCTCATTTGCTTCCTCAATACGCTCTTCCCAGGGCACTGTGAGTTCCAGCATGATCAGTTGTTTTGTCACTTCAGAGGTGACTATCATGTCTGGCTGAAATGATGTTACTACAATATGTTGTGGGAATTTAAGCTGCTTGCCCAGATCAGCTTGCAGCTGCCAGTCAGAGGCTGTGTAGAGGAGGCCTGCCCTTGTTTCAGGCTGTGGGCAGGGTTTCTCTCCGGCACTGATGAAGGAGATCAACTTCCTTGGGGCGTGGTGGTGTCTGCTAGAACTAATAGCTGTGGCTATACTCTCAGCAACCGCCTTAAGCACCTGGTCATGCCGCCAACGATAGCGGCCTTCTCCCAGGGCCTTTGGGCAGCTGCTGAGGAGATGTTCTAGGGTTCCTCTGCCAGAGCACAGGGGGCAGGAAGGTGTCTCACTCTTGCCCCAAACGTGAAGGTTTGCTAGGCTTGGTAGGGCATCGTAGACAGCTTGCACAAGGAAGGGTCCTTTCTGTGTGGAGTTTGCATGTTCTCCTCGTGTCTGTGTGGGTTTCCTCCGGGTTCTCCGGTTTCCTCCCACAGTCCAAAGACATGCAGTCAGGCTAATTGGACATGCTGAATTGCCCCTAGGTGTGAATGTGTGTGTGATTGTGTGTGTGATTGTATATGTCTGTCTGTCTGCCCTGTGATGGACTACTCCAGGGTGTATCCTGCCTTCCGCCCAATGACAGCTGGGATAGGCTCCAGCACCTCCCCGTGACCCAGAAGGATAAGCGGTTTAGATGATGTGTGTGTGTGTGTGTGTGTGTAAAAATCACTCTCCTTTTATTTATACTGTTAAATAAATGGAGGGTGCTCTGACTTTTGCACAGTCCCCAGAAAGAGGTATAGCACACATTTTGTCATTGTGGGGACACTGGGAGGAAAAACACTTCTTCAGAAACTGCAGCTTTTATTAGTTAAAGTAAAAGATGTCAAATCTAATCTTGCTGTTGTTAAAGGGGAACTACACAGATTTTCCAAAAATTCTGCATAATTAAAGAGTTACGATGCAAACAGAGTCATTCAGAGCAGTTTGGTGTGAAAACACTTAAAAAGAAACTTAAAAAGTCAGAATTGTTCACAGTGGTAGGAACCAGATGTCCACCTCTGAAAACTCCCTCACATGAAGTTATTATATGAAATGTAATGTCTAAGACATTGTTTTATGATAGTTCTGTGAAAAAAACACAAAATATAATACATTCACGGTGGAGGGGTACAGGCAGGGTGAGGCAACGTAGTGGCCAAAGAAACTTGTTTTTTCAGATTTATGTCTGTTTTACCATGATCAGCAATACATTTAAAAACTTCGAAGACGTGTAGGTGATCTCAAGTGAATTACTGGTTTTTGGATTTTGGACAGTAAATAAAATGGTTCCTATCATCACCATTATACAGAAATCTGAGCTGCTAAGTTTCTCTACAATGAACCATTTCACATCAAACCTCTCTGAAAGTCTTTGTTCACCTCTCAACTATTGAATTATGCAGAAACTTTGAAAAATTGTTGGAGTTGCTCTTTAAGCTTAGGGCTGGGGTACATGGAGAACAGCAGTCATTTCAAAGAACATGGAAACTCTACACTCTCAGACTGTCCTGGGGTGAAGGTGGGGTGCTAGTCGGAGATGAAAGGAGGCGTGGGAGCCCCTCTGGGCAAAACTCACTCACACCAGTCTGGGATCTCTACTGCAGAGCTTCATTTATAGCAGATCTCTTCACCAAATTAGCTCATTTCATTTCATTTCTCTGTGCTTCTTTCGGTCATGTAGAATTGTACTGAACGGTCAGTCATGAACTAGACAATCACTCTTTTAGGAGAAATTACATGCAATTAAAAGTTACATACAATTAAAGTAATTACATGCACTTTTAGCATAAAGACAGTAAACAAATATCTGCTTGTGCAACATTAACATTACAGAATGACCTGCTTAAAAGGCCCATCCATTTTATTTTTCCCTTTAAAGTCCACCTATAATGTTTGTGTGGTTTTATATACCAAATAAAAAAATATCATAATTTGCTTTTATCTGACCATTTTCCAACTTCTCTTAATCCCTTAGAATCAAACAGGCTGTTTTTGTTATCATGCCTTTAAGACTGGTATATGTTAATGAGCTCTGCTCTGATTGGCTGTGCATTTTGCCTCATTCAAAAAAGTACTCCAGGCTGACACTCTTCTTATAGCTAAAGCACTATAGGCTAAATAGGCAGATATATGCAAGTCGATTCTTGTGACATCACAAAAACGATTAATTTTAAAACAGGCTTTTTTTCAGTTTCCATATATAGAATGGACTGGAGAGTGAAACTTAAAAGATGTTTACATATTACTTTAAGCTTTGTTTAACAAATAAAAGTGGGGGAAATTCAGTTTTCCATGATACAGAGCCGTTAATCATCATGGCAGGGACATATCGGGTAATGCATTCACATGTAATCTTGAAGGTACGAATAGCATGTTGTTAAAAAAGACCCTTGGTAAATAAAAACAGCTAAAAGAAACAACAACAACAAAACTGCAAGCTGGAAGCTCCGCCCTCATTTTTATTAAAGGGGAATTCCAAGAAATGTTCAGAACTTAAATGGTTGAGATGCAAACAAAGTCATTCAGAGTGGTTTGGTGTGAAACACTCCAATCTAGAGAAACATAGTCAGAATTGTTCACAGTGGTGGTGATAGGAACCAGACGTCTGAAGAGTTTAATGCCACTGCAAACGTCCTTATAAGAAGTTTCCTTATAAGAACTTCCTTATTTTACCATCATCAACATTACATACAAAAGCTCAGAAGACTCGCGTAGATTCACTGGTGGTTTTGGACAGTAAATAAAATGGCAATTTTTGTGTTGTAGACATTGTGACGTCTGGTTCCTATCACCACCATTATAAATAAATTTCAGTCAGTAGGTTTTTCGGTCACACTTTATTTGGATGTTCCCCTACAGATGCTCTAAAAGATGCCTAAATCACTAACAAACTTTCTAGTGATATTCAGTTGATTATCAACAACAGTATGGTTATGGTTAGGGTTAGGAATAGGTGTAGGTTTTGCCTTGAGGTTAAGGTTAGGGTTAGGTTTAGGGTTAGGAATAGATTTAATAAAATCTTTCATACTGAACTTGAAGTTCTGTTTTATTTAATAGATATTTAGTTGAATGTTACTTAAAGACAGACTGAGCATTTACAAAGCATCTACAGTGAACCATCCAAATAAAGTGTTACCGGCTTTTCTACAGTGAAGTGTAGATTCACATCGAACCACTCTGAATGACTTTGTTTACATTTCAATGATTGAATTACAGAGAAATTTTTAAAAGTCTGTGAAATCTCCCTTTAACATGCTGGCCATACAAACACAGCTCAGCATGTTAAATTGACCTCTGAAAAATCAGTACTTTTCTTGTAAAAACACTTTTACTGTAACTTTTACTGTAATTTTATTGTGTTTGTGAAACTGATTAAATGACTACTCAGTGTTGTTGCTGTGTTGCATTTCACTGCCCATCATCATCATTATCATCATCATCATCGTCGTTAACTGCTTAGTCCAGTTAGAGTCGTGGTATTTCACCGCCCAGTGTTTTCAATATGAAAATCATTCCAGTCAGTTGTTATCTATCTCGCCCCAGGCCTTATCCTGGTCTGTTCACTGACGTACTTGTGTATGTTTGTGTATGCGTGCAGATGAGATCATGCAGCAGGAGACGAGTCCTCTCTGCGCTGCTGACATCATCAGTGAGCTGAAGAAGAAGTTTGCCTTCCTGTCAGGTGATGATTGGAACTCATAAATGCTTTGTTGTTTGACCCTGACCATACACGCACTGCTGCTGGAGTTTTAAACACCTCAGTGTCACTGCTGGACTGAGAATAGTCCACCAACCAAAAACATCCTGCCAACAGCGTCCTGTGGGCAGCGTCCTGTGACCACTGATGAAGGACTAGAGGATGACCAACACAAACTGTGCAGCAGCAGATGAGCTATCGTCTCTGACTTTACATCTACAAGGTGGACTGAGAAGGTAGGAGTGTCTAATAGAGTGGACAGTGAGTGGACACAGTGTTTAAAAACTCCAGCAGCACTGCTGTGTCTGATCCACTCGTATCAGCACAACACACACTAACACACCATCAGCGTGAAATGTGTGTGTGTGTGTGTGTGTGTGTGTGTATATATATATATATATATATATATATACATACACACAGAGCAGACCAGACTAAACGATCACCGCACTGTCTCTGCCTTGTTGTCATGGAGACAGGGAGAACAGGCATGACTAGCCAGATTTATGTTTTGATCACATGGGGCACTTATAATCCAACTGCACTCTCTCTCTCTCTTGATCTCTCTCTCTCTTTCTTTATCTCTATCTCTCTCTCTTTCTTTCTGTCTCTCTCTATCTTTTTTCTATTTTTCTCCTTTTCTCTTTCTTTTTCTTTTTTGTCTTTTTCTTTTTCTTATTCTCTGTCTCTGCACTCCCTCTTTCTTTCTGTCTGTCTCCTTTTCTCTTTCTTACTCTCCCTTTCTTTCTCTATATTTTTCTTTTTTGTCTTTTTCTCTTTCTTTCTCTCCTTTTTTCTTTCTTTCTTTCTTTCTTTCTTTCTCCTTTTCCTCTTTCTTATTCTGTCTCTGTACTCCCTCTTTCTTTCTCTCTCGCTTCTCATTCCCTCTCTCTCTCTCTCTCTCTCTCTCAGACTCCATCGCTCTCTGTATGTCTTTCTCTCTGTTGTTTTCTTTGCAGTGTTTCCTGAGTGTAGATCGCCCTCTGCTGTTTACAGTCAGGCTGACAGCTGACTCTGTTGTCTCTTTCTGTGTAACTGTAGGGGGCAGAGGGCAGGACGGCAGTCCAATCATTATCTTCCCAGAGTTCCCTTCATTTGGTGAGATTGGAGAGCAAGAGTTCCACAACGTTCTCACCTACCTGACGAGTGTTCCCAGGTAAACACACACCAGCAGACATCTGTAATCAAGCTGACAAGCAGGCATGTCAAACTGGGGACTTTCCAGGCCAAAGTGCTGCAGAGATGTCCGTTTACTCTCATCTAATGCTCTGAATTCAGTTCATGAAGGCCTTGCTAATCAGCTGATGAGCTGAATCAGGTGTGTTTAATGAGGCAGTGAGCTGAAGTCTGCAGTGTTTAGGCCCGCAAGGACTGACACATGTACTTTAAAGTGATAGTTTGGTGAAAAATCTGCCAAAAATCTACCAATCTTCCCTCCTACCCCAAGTGTGGTCAACCAGCAAAAGCATATTTGGTGCTCTTTTGGTTTTGCACTTAAGCTACGAGGCTAATGTAGCTAATATGTAATGGAAGCTTATAGCCACCCAGTTAGCACAAAACTGAGTACCTAAATTGTCAAGCTTACCTCAAACTTGTGAAGTAACTTCAAACAAGGAGAGAACATTTGATTTTTGACGATTTTGAAAAGATATCACGCATATTTTAAAGGGCCCATACCCTTTGTTTCCATTGTATTTTATTTTATCATTTTTATTTTAGTTTATGCACCAAAACCATTCACAATTCATATTTACATGACCATTTTCTAGCCTCTATCTATCTTAGAAACAGGCTGTTTAATGTCTGTGCCTTTACGACTGCTATCTATAAATATATCTCTATGCTGATTGGTCACCCTGGATTGTGCCTCATTCAAGAAAGCAGCCTAGGCTGAAACACTCCATATAACTTCAGCATGAAAGGGCGGGGCTAAACTGCTGTGGGCTGAATAGGTGGAGTGTTGATTTTCGTGACAGCACAAAAACAAAGAATTCAAAACAGCTGATTTTGCATCTTAGTTTCCGTATATGGACTTTTTGGGCTGGAGAGTGAACAGCATGTTTTTAAGTGTTTGAAATTCATTTATTTCAGAAAAGTAAGGAAAATTCAGTGTTACATGATATGGGCCCTTTAACGTCCGTAGTAATGTTAACTTTAATTTTATATGTTACGTTTTTCTCTCCAAGTCTTCTGCTCATCTACTGCACCTACGTCACCTTTTGCTGAACACAAAAGCTCCTGTGTGTGTAAAGAATGCATAGTGTTAAAAAGTCTGAATAATATATGTGTGTTTCATGTTTCCTCCAGTTTGAGTGCAGCAGGGGTGGGTTTTATCCTGGTGATTGACAGGCGTCAGGACCGGTGGGCCTGCATGAAGGGAACGCTACTCCGTATCTCGGTGAGTGTGTATATTTGTATTATTTAACCACCACCAGTGATAATCAGTGACACAGAAGCACCACATGTGATGTATTTGGATGTAACCTCAAAGAGTACCCCACCCCTTTTAAGCTAGCAGCGTCAATGGACAGCTCGACGCGCTTATGCTAACTGCTAATTCTGTTACGTCAACTAACAGACACTCATGTTGGCTATCACTGCACGGGGGGAAGAGGGAGAACAGTTGTGCTTTCTTGGACTCATGGCCACAGATGGCTGTGAGGACCAAGCTGCGGGGATGGCTGTGGGGGTCAATGCTTAGACATGTTCACCAATTGGAAACAGTGTTGGCGATAACATGGTACAAAGTAACGTATTACTGTAAAGCAGTTATCTTTTCCTATAATTAAGTAGAGTAACACAGTGTAACACATTGCAATCAAATTACATTCACATAACAGACCCCAACAGAGAAATACTGATTATAAACAATGCATATATGTCATACATTTCCTCTATATAGATTATCTGTGCCTGTTCCTCTATGTAATATGCGCACGACTGTGCTACCTGCAACAGCTGGTTTTGTGTCTTTGATAGAATGTGAGCAGAGCGGCTCTGTAAACTCTGTCGAAGCATCACGCTAATATGAAACTGATGGATAAAGATCCTAATGGTGACCCAACCTCAACTAGCTAAACAGTACTTAGCTCAGATGTGCATCTGTGTTTAGCTGTGAGTGTCCTGTGTTTGGGCAGAAGCTTGATCAAGTCTGGCCTGTTTATAGGTTGGGTTGATCGCTTCTTCATCATTAAGATTTTAATCCATACCCCCCCACAAAAAACTCCTCCCAAACTGTACCATAACGCACATATTTAGCTGTGCCACTATAGTCTATTTGTTATCTGTAGCTGTGTTCACTACCAAAAGTAGCTAGCAACGTAACTACCTAAACAGAAAAATAATACTTAGCCTAGATGTCCATCTATGTTTAGCTGTGTCATTTGTATGGACAAAAGCTTGATCCAGTCTGGCCTAGTTAAGGTATGTCGCTAGCAACTTTTGTAACTGAGACAGCTAGAGATAACAAGCAAGGCTTGCTAGAGTACAGCGGCACAGCTGAGTATTGTAGGTCGAAATAGAAGAAGACGAGGAAAACATAGCGCATATAGGTGACACTTCAGTAACAGGCTAACCCAACTAGTGACTCTGGGAGGTGGTAATGTGGGAGGACACAACATACAAGGAGGGTGGACACTTCTAACCAGTAGTTACAAAACAAAGCCCACCCTCTGACACAATTACTCTAATAAACACAACTACAATGACAACTAAACCACACAACAACAACAACAGCAGCAGCAGTATCTGTTTAACCTGGGAGCTTGGCACCTCCCACGAGCTGCTTTGCATGGCCACCCACCTAAGTTCCTCACAGCAGGGTGGCCCATGGTGGACTCCACGTTATCAGTTTGGAAGGTGTTTTTTTGGGGGAGGGATTTTAACGCAGTTTTTCATGGCCAGTTCCATTTCACGTGATGCAGCCAAGCTAAGGCTAGCATGTGCTTCCTTGGAGACGTAAGGAGCCCCACTGCATCTTTCAAACCGCCACTATCACAACATCAGTGGACAGCTCAACACGCTTGGAGGAGAACGCTAACTGTCAATTCTGCTATGCCATCTAACAAACGCACCAGTTCAGTGGATTAGCTCAGCGTTACTGTGTTGGGCTAACTTCTAATTCTGTTATGTCAGCTGACAGACGCTTTCATTGGCTGAGTGCTTACATTGTAGCATTGTTCTGAGACCTGAGAGAACAAGGACAGTTATGCTTGGACTGCTGGCCACAACTGGCCAAGCTAGCTCGACGTGGGTTTTACGGTTTGTTGGAGCTTTCATGTCTCTTCAGTGTTGTAAGGCCACTCCAATGTGCACTCACACTCTTAGACTTCTCTCCTACAGAATAAAGCTAGTGCTTTGCTTCTTGTTCACATATAGCCTATCAGCAGTGAGGACAGGAAAGAGGTTCCTGATGCAATCTGAAATTTTCTTCATAAAATAAAATACATTTTTAGTTTCTGAATACAGTCGTCAAATCATTTTGATTCCTCAGAGTGTGTTTGTAAGTGATAGCTATCGGCATGTAAAGACAGTTTAGACGCAAAACTCTTAATCAAATCTATTACATCAGCTGTAATTGCATTAGTGTGCCATTTCCTGTCATCTATCAGGAACAGCTATGAGTTGCCCACCCAAGTTACTACATGCGTATGTTTTGTATAGGGTCACTTCCCAGGGAACCTGCGGCTGGTTCTGGTGCTGCGGCCCAGCGCTCTCTTCCAGCGCACTCTTTCGGACGTCCTCTTCAAACTCCACAGAGACGACTTCAAGATGAAGGTGCCGGTAAGTGCGCTTCTGTACATTTTGTGTATTTGTGCATTTTCAAATCCTGACCAAAAAAAAGAGGCTAACCAACAGGGTCTGACTTTGTACAGTGCTTTTAAACAAAAGCTCCATGTTTCACTTTAAACTAAAATAGCAAAACTATTTATTTTAGGTCACTGAGATTAAATTAGGAGGGTTAAGATTAGAAATTATTATTACATATAGATACTTAAATAGCATTGCTATTGTGCAAAAAAAAAAAAAAAAATCCATCACCATTTTTTGCATTATTTAAAAAGTTACCATTTACATTGTGTTAAAATTTCATGATGAATGGACCAACAGAAATAGTCCAAAATTATTTGGAAGGAAATTTTGTTACATTAACTTCCATTATATGTAAAGAATGTTTTTCCTTCTCCTGTAAAGTTACCATTTTGGAGATACAGCGATGATGTATATTGATGTAGGATGAGCAATATGAAACAAAGAAAGAACAAGATCAAAAACTATCAGAGCTAACAGTAACTAAAATTAATATACAGGGAGTATTTCATAAAGCAGGATTTCTCAGTTAGCCTGATAACTTAGGCCAACAAAACGAGCGTGTCGCCATCTTTCCCACCAGCCCGTGGTGAGTGCTTCTCTCTTTATCACAAACATTTGTGTTCATTTGTGTTATTTGCTTTAAATGTGCAAATAAATCAGGCCACACAAGTCTATCCAATAGGAGAAGTGTTAAAGAACATTCCCATTGGATGGACCTCAACTTTTGGCTTAAGTTATCCAGCTTAGTGGGAAATGCTGCTCTGTGAACTACCCCCCAGGGCTACCAATGAACAAACGATGCCAAGCAAGGAGCTAGACAAAGACATGAGGTATATATGCTGGGAAAAAACAAACCTGAAACACCTGGGAACAATTACAGAGCAGGGTTACAGACAAGACACAGGTGAGTGGCATGACAAAAGGGCAGAGCAAGGGAGGAGCAGGAAACCCACATGGCCGGAGGCACAAGTGAAGCGGTTAAAAAGTTAATGTACATATATACTACATATATAATACGTTGGGGACCTGTTATTACATTTAAGTCCTTCATACTTCTTTCTCTTTTTCAGCCTGGCTAGTTATGTGAAACCTATGAAACTGCACATGATTAGCATCATATAAGAATAATTTCATATCTTTATAAAATTGCGTTTATAAGCAGTGATCCCAAACTTTTGAACAGTAGTGAAATGTGACTTGTAGAAAGCCGTGTGTGTGTGTGTGTGTGTGTGTGTGTGTGTGTTGTAGGTGATCATGCTGAGCTCAGTGGCTGAGCTGCATACTTATATAGAGCAGAGTCAGCTGACTCAAGAACTGGGAGGCACTCAGCAATACTGCCATAAGACCTGGATCTCCCACCGCACAGTGAGAACCTGCACCCAACACAGGCAGCACAACACAACCACAATGCAGCCATAGCACAATAACATAACTCAACACAACCACATCACAGCCATAGCACAACACAACATAGCTACAACACAGCCCTAACACAGTACTGCAACACAGCCATAACACAGTAACATGGCCACAACACAGCCATAATACAGTAACGCAACACAACACAGCCATAGCAAAGTAACACAACACAACACAAAACAGCCATAACACAATAACACAACACAACCACAACATAGCTATAGCACAAAATGACGTGACCCAGCTGTAACACAGTAACACAACACAGCCATAACACAATAACACAACCACAACACAGCTGTAACACAGTAACACAACACAACACAGCCATAATCCAGTAACGCAACACAACCACAACACAGCCATAACACAGTAACACAACAGAACCACATCACAGCTATGGCACAACACGATGTGACACAACTATAACTCAGTAACACAACACAACACAGCCATAACACAGTAACGCAACACAACTCAGCCCTAATACAGTAATGCAACACAACCACAACACAGCCATAACACAGTAACACAACACAACCACATCACAGCTATAGCACAACACGGTGTGATACAACTATAACACAGTAACACAACACAGCCACAATACAGTAACGCAACACAACTCAGCGCTAATACAGTAATGCAACACAACCACAACACAGCCATAACACAGTGACACAACACATCCACAACACAGTAACACAGCACAGGCACAACACAGTAAAACAACACAATGCAACAACGAAACACCAAAACTGCCCTTTACTTTTCTGTAAAACCCCATTTCTTTTTTCTGCAACAAAACAACCGTAATTATGGCAAATGGTTCACTTCTGCTAACACCTGGAACATCTGTAGAAGATAGGTGGAAGTATTTTCCCCTCACAAGTTATCTAGTGGGAGCCAGAATGCTTTTCTGTCCCACTTTAAACAAAATATACACAACCACCACACCATACAATTGGTAACTGTTCAAAGCACACCATATTTCAGTCATCTGACCTCATAAACTATGGGCTTGTTATTCAGTTATTAATGTTACAACTTATTATTAAGTATGACACTTATATAATAAGTTGTGGTTATGAGACTGAGCAATGTAAGTCAGGATCTGCTGAACAGTTGAAGGGCTTAGCACTCAGCCTGACTTAGTGTTTTCATACTCAAACCCTGAGGGCATTATTAGCATTAGCATGTCTGTGTCTGTGTCTAAAGGACATAGAAGGCTTTGCTGTCTTAGTGAAGAGGATGGCGCAGAGACTGCAGGCTTTTGGCAGGGAACTGGCGGAGACGGATCTGCCGAACTCCCCCCTAGCAACCAGCAATCTGCTCAACACACACTGCAGCAAGAGAGACAACATGAAGGTAAGCTCGAACGCTCAGCCAAAAATGTCCATTCACTCTCGCAATACCTTGGCAGTGTCATTCAGTGCCAAGTTGTAACACCTGAAATGAAATTGACCTGAAGTGCGATGTTGGACAAGCTTTGCTGAATGCTGGCAAAAATCCTATTGAACCTCATTCATTCAATCCCATACAATGGGTGATTGTAGCACCCAACACCCAGCTTATTTCAAGGCTAGCTAGACAGGGACTTCATAGTAAGCTTGCTCATAAGCTCAAGATTATATTATATTTTTTAAGAAATAATTGACATTGTTTTGAGGCCCTCATTTATAACATTGTTATGAAGCATCAATCCCAAGTAATTAAATGTATTAAGGACATCAACATTTTTCAAAGAGCTAATGTATTTTCCTTTTATATTGAACTTATACGTTTAGTTACTTGGGAAAGATGCTGTTAGGAAGCTTTATTTCTAAGTAATTCAACATATTACACTGCAAAAATGGGATCTTGTCAAGTAAAATGATCTTAAATATGGTCAATAAATCTAATATGTCTCCTGTTGAGATTATTTACCTTATTAACTAGACATTAACTAGACATTTTTACTTATTTTTTTGATTTTATTAAGTAAAATTATCTCACTATTTTGGCAGATAGTTTTGCTTGTTTTAAGAAATGTTCTCGAAACCAGCAAAATTATCTGCCAGTATAGTGAGATCATTTTACTTAATAAAATTACTTAAAACAAGTAATACATTTCTAGAAATAAGATAGAACATCTTATAATAATAATAATAATAATTGCACAACCATCTCAAAATGGGAAATATTAGATATACTGACCAGATTTAAGATCATTTCACTTGACAAGACACTATTTTTTAAAGTGTAGGGTTGATGCAAGTACTTTCTCTTACAGACAGGATTTTTGTACAGGAGTATGTATATTGGTACATATGGGAAAAAAATGTATGAGAATAATAATTTAAGTCTAAAGGCATCAAAACTGATATACTGTGATTTTACTTTGGTCATATAAGTTCATTCACCTGGGAACAACGCTTTATAAAAGTGTTGGCCTTATAGTTTAAGAGTCTTTATGTCAATACAATGCCAGTTACTCCATACAACATATGCCATCTTGCAGTTGCTAACATAAAAGTCCTGCTATATAAATACAGTATTCACCGTTTATGTATGTGTTATGAAGTTCCTATGTATGTAACCTTCACATAAAGTGGTACCCTCAAATAGTATTTGTTTTGGGGGGGGGTGGCGGTGTAAGGTAGTGTCATTAGATGTAGCACAGTATGGTAAAAATTAAGCATTTGCAGTTGAATCATCTCCTACAGAGACTTTGTATATCTTACCATTTTTTGTTGGAATCTAAAGATTTCTACATCCATTTGTCTCTAATCATCACAGGAGGAGATTGCAGGAGCTCTAGGACAGGGACGTAAGATCTTGGAGAACATTCGGGAGCCGGTACGCAGGGACCCAGACAGCAGCCTGAACCCAGACCAGCTGGAGAACCTGGCCACTGTCCACAGGTCAATCTACAGCTTCAAATTTACTTCCTTACATTATTTACTTAGAATGTGGAACAACACATCATACACTTTATTAGACACTCCCACCTTGTTCTTCCAGCCACTGCTCACATTATGAAGTCCACTATATGCACCATCATTCACAAGGCTGGAACCACTGTATTCAATAATCATAAAAGCAATTTAATTGCAGGTAAATGTATGAAGTTATTTGAATATCATGCTACTCTACAGCTTCATAAATGTCAAGTAATCTGCTGGAAATGGTCAGAAATTTAGACTGGAATGATAAACAGAGCTGTACAGCAAACCTGACAGCAGTATTGAGGATTAAATTATAATAAAATGAACATCCAGAATGTCCATTAATGTCTAATTCTAAAATTTTATAATATTTCATGTTTTTATTAAATAAACATGACTAAAAGTGAATTCAGTTCATGAAGGCCTTGCTAATTAGCTGATGAGCTGAGTCAGGTGTGTTTAATGAAGCAGTGTGCTGAAGTCTGCAGTATTTTGGCCTGCGAGGACTGGAGCCTGACACATGTGCTGTAGAAGATGTGTTAACTTACTTTCACTTAAAAAATCAACAAAACTTGTAATTTGACCAGGGTTGTTGAAACGTTTGCAAACTATTGTGTTAATTTGTCTGGTATAAGCTTCAAATAAAGCATGTCTGCTTCAAGCTTCTGATGTCCGTGTTTAATCTAGAACATCAAAAAAAGGTTCATGTGAATTGCTGTCAGCTTAGCGCTAACATACTACTGAAATCCCATAGGGGTGCTAGAAATCAGCATTATTGTACAGATGGTTTTTCCTTGTTTTTGACATTTATGGCACAAACTGAAGACCTAACTCTTATAGTCAAGGTTCGGCACTGGCTACACTTTATGTAGTTATACAAGGGAGTGGTTTCTGATCATCTGACCAGTGTGTGGAGCCCTACACTAGGCCACATTTAACTTTAGAGGGACAGTTTTTGCCAGACATGAGCTACACAATTTGACATTTGTGCTTCTTTTCCTCATTTTTCTTCCTTTCTCTTTCTCAGGTTGTTGTCTCAGTTGAACGAGAGCTCAACTGCGTTTGATGACTTCTGGGTGCAGCATCACAATAAGCTGGAAATGTGTCTGAGACTGTGCCAATTCGAGCACAACTTTCAGCAGGTCTCGCCCAACCAATGCTGCTAAACCGCTGACTGCTAAAACATTATGTCACAATTGCACAACATCTGAGCTGAGCCGGCTGTAGTTAAGGCATTCTGTTTTCTTTGCAGGTGTGGGAGGAGCTAGAGCAAACAACCACTAGAGTGACGGCTTTCTCGCATGTAGGAATGAGCCCCACCCACACAGAACACCTCCTCAGAGAGCTGAGCAGCCAAGAAGAGAAAGCATGTGTACGTCTCCTCCCTCCACATACACGTGATCATGATTGACCCACTGTTAGATTTTGAGGGATGTTTAATGAGGTTTCAGGAGTGCTTGACCCACTCGTGTACTGGGGATGGGCATCGATTCCAAAAGAGTTGATTCTTTGACTCCAGAGTCAAAATGCTTGGAGGGGACTCTTCAGTACAAGTTTGTTTACCAGGCTTCAAACCTGTTTACCAAGTTTCCATTCCACCTTAAATGGTGCTGCAGTTACATTCTGACACCAGCAAACCACCATAGGTAAATGCTGCATCATTGATTTGAGGTGGAATGGAAAATTCTAAGGAGCTGATGAATAAAAAAGCCAACTTAATATCCAATTAACTGGTTCATTTTCAAAGAATTATGACTACAGTAAAGATCAGTACATCACTCTCAGAATGCACTTGTCCTGCGCGCTGCTCCCTTCAACAGCCTTACTATGTGAAATAAAGAATAATTAATCTCATAGTAAGACGTGTTCAGTTATAAGTGAGCCGTAATCACTTGTCAAGCTACATGATATTACCTGGTATAAGCTACGAATTTTCATCATATCACTATGATCTGCTGCTGTACTGGTTAAAGGCGCAGTGTGAAAGATTAGGTGGCATCTAGTGGCGAGGTTGCAGATTGCAACCAACTAAATACACTCCCTCACCCCTCCCATTCCAAGCGTGTAGTATAACCTACGGTGGACATAAGGTAGATTGGTACGCCAAATTGCCGGTCCAGCAGAAAACTTCGCCGTCACTCTGAAAACATTTGTCCCTCATCAGCAATTTCCGTCTGAGAAAGGCCACACTATTGTTTATCCTTGTTTTCTGCCATAGTCTACACCAATTTCGCTTTGCTTCTTCATGACTTTCATTTCTGGGCTACTGTAGAAACATGATGGCGCAACATGTTTTTTGATTGAGGCAATAGAGGCTTTAGGCGAAATACAACTAAAAACAAGTTGAATTAAATTAAATAAGTTTAGATTTAAATGCTTCAGCTTTTGTCAGTTGCAAAACTTTTTTTTAAATGTATTCCTAATGCACTGAACCTATTATAAATACTTCAGATGTTTTATGCAGGCAGCCATTGACCACAGATGGCATCACTGGGATTTGAACTTACAACCTCCTGGTGCTGGGGGAACCATTAGATGCTGTTAATTTAATGTTGTTGGCTGTTGTTTCCCTGGGGTTTTCTGCAAACTGACATTAAAATAATCATTTATTACTGTGAATTATCAGTCATCATCTGAATAGCTGAGTAGAAGTGTAGTTAATATTGTATATAAACACAGGAAAATAATTGGAAAATAAAGGAATTTATGAATGCAGCGATAGCTATGGTAGTAGTTCACTGGCAACGGTGCTGCCATGTTATTTGTCCCATGAAAGCACAGCAACCTTTCAACATCCTGCAAAATGTGTAGCAGTAATGTTAGCATTTTACCACCACTTAACCAAAAATTGTTGCCATAAACAGATCTTTAAAATCTAAGAATTGAATAATAACCCTATTAAATATTTAACCATTGTGATAATGTATGTTGAGGAAATAATCTATATATGAATATCTTATATGGGCAAAAACAAACTAAAATACACTTGAATTCTGATAATTAACAGCAGTTGCCAGTTTTTTTCACATATATATTTTATTGCTCTTTTTTACAAGATGAATTGTGTAATTTGACCTGTATTTTCCCAAACAGAACAAAAACCATATAAAATTTGTAGTAAGAGCATTTTCACTGTGGTATTGTACATGATAAATGAGGTAAGTGACTGCCTCATACAGTGCCCTCCACAAAATATTAGCACCCTGTGTAAACCTTGTAAACCTGAGCAAACAGGCTGTGAAAAAACATAATTTCTATGGTGTTCAGGTCAAGAGACTGGAATGGCCATGGCAAAACCTTGATTCTGTGGTCAGTGAACCACTTTTGCAATGATTTTGAGGTGTGTTTAGGATCATTGTCTTGCTGAAAGATCCAACCATGGCCCAGTTTAAGCTTCCTGGCTGAGGCAATCAGATTTTGATTTAATATCGGCTGGTACTCCATGATACCAGGTATCTGAAGTTGTCCAGGGCCTTTGGAAAAAACATGACTCTTTCAAATGGTTTAACATCTATAGTCTATGACTATGATAGTTCTAATAGAGAACCTCTTTTCTTTTCATTAGATCATTCTCATCATATCTCCTTCCGTTCTTTCCCCCTCTCTTTCTCCCCCGTAGGAGCTGCTGGACAGGTCAAGGGCCCTGGTTGTCGAGGGCGAGGGTTTGGTTGACAGCTGTGAGTTTGCTGATGACGGTGTGAAGGTGAGGTGTGATGAGCTGCGGAGAGCCGGAGAGAAACTCCCACAGCAGCTCCAAACCAAGAGAGATCTACTACTGCAGGCCATGGAGCTCCACCAGAGACTGCAGAGCGTGAGAGGCCTCACCACACACACACATAACCACACAATCATAATAAATATGCTTATATATTCCATACACTATCCACCGAATTTGGATGTAAACAAGTCTGCATTTTGAGCTCCTATCCATTATTTTATTTAAACTCCAATATGCTGTGGTAGGCACTAAAATAACAATAACTTTATTATGGGCCTGACTGTATATATATATATATATATATATATATATCACTGCTGTTGGAACAAAACCTCATATCTCCATTTGTGTTGTTTTGTCCTTTTTTTTTAACAGAATTTAAATAACCAGCTGCCCTTTACAACGTGCTAAAATTTCATGATGAATTGAGTTATTAAAAAGCTCTGAAATTGTTACATAAAATAAAAAGAAATGATAAAATATTTTAAAAATCTAGTTCCATTAACTTCCATTCAAAGATAGTGTTTATGAGTGTTTTTTTCCTTCTCCTGTAAAGTTACCATGGAGACATGAGGTTTTGTTCCGACAGCAGTGATACGTATATATCCCCGAATTAAAGTCTTTCATCAGATTAGGATGTAAATAATTTTTTTTTTTTTTTGGTACCACCCCAATATTTAATCAAAATAGTCGCTTATACTATATATATATATACAAAACGCTGTATCTCCAAAATAGTAACTTTACAGGAGGAGGAAAAAGCATACTAGTCAATTTGGGTCATTTCTTTTGGCCCATTCATCATGAAATTTACACACAGTTTAAACGACAACAGACATTTTCAAATTATGTAAAAAACTGAAAAACAACAAAAACGGAGATATGAGGTTTTCTTCTGACAGCAGCAATATCTATCTATCTATCTATCTATCTATCTATATATATATATATATATATATATATATATATATATATTCTCTTTCTTTTGTCCCTCTTGTTCTCTTAGGTGTGTAAATGGTGTGAAGATGGCATTTACTTGCTGGCCTCTCAGCCGCTTGACAGGTGTCAGTCACAGGAGGGGGCGGAGTCTGCATTGCAGGAGCTGGAGGGTTACCTAGAGACAGCCAATGAGAGGCAGGAGTGGGACATGGACGCGGTCTGGAGAGAGTATGAGAGTGTGCTGAATGAAGAGCTGAAGGTGAGGAGCCCTCATGACCATTTGTCAAGCTATATATCACCACCGTTGGCACAAAACCTCGCAACTCCTGTCCTGCAACTTTTGTTGTGTTTAATGTTTTACGTAATTTGGAAATTCCAGCTGCTGTTCTGACAGCAATGATATGTATAGGGCCATCTCTGCTTTGGGGCCCCAACCATACCCCTAACATTCATCATGAAGGAAAAATGCTGATTTCCAGTGGACATATGTAAGACCATTCAACACTAACTTTAATCAGGATAAAACAACCTGGATCAATAGTCATGTAAACCCATTGTTTGCTTTCTTGATTTTCACTTATGGCACGAGTTTTTGTATTTTGTTTGCCATCTTACTACAGTTAAGATTAGGCTAAATAAATTGGGGAAAGCTAGCAGGGGTAACTAGCAATGTCTGTGACAGTTTGCAAGTCATTAAGGTGACAGTAAGTGCTGGAAAAACAAACCTACCTGTATAAATATATATCATTTAAAAGGACAAATCTCCATCAATAATGTAATAATAAGTATAGGAATATTTTTATTTACAGAGCACTTTTCATCAGCTTAGAATGCTTTACAGACAGGTGATAAAGCTTAAAGGTACTAGAAGAAACTTTGAGTATTAATTTAAAAATCATATAAGACAATGGCACAGATCAAATTAAAAAGACAAACATTAAAGTTTTTTTTTATATTAAAGAATTTTAATAAAACATTAACTTAAAGAGATATGATTTCAAATATTTCTTAAAAGTGAGCCCTGAGCTTGACTGTCTAATAAAAGGTGGAATTGAGTTCCACAGTTTAGAAGCACAATAACTGAATCAGTCCATGTTATCTGTATTTTATGGAAGGTGTTTGCAGAAGGTCAGTATCTGCAGATCTAAGATCACATGCTAAAATATAAACAGGCACATGCTGTGAGGCAAGTAGTGCTTTAAGGTCATTTAGAGCCTTAAAAATTAGTAGCAGAACCTTAAAATTTATCCTAAAAGATACAGGTAGCCAGTTCTTTTTGTTTTCTTAGGAAGCCCAGTAAGAAGAGCATTACAGTGATGAATTCTGCTGTAACAAGTTTCTCTAAGATAGAAAAGGCTGAACTTTATCATTTGAGAAATATGGCTAAAAAGCTACTTTAGTGATTGTGTTTACCTACAGTATAAAACAGAGCTCAGAGTCTAAGATCACACCCAGGTTTCATACTTCAGGTTTGGTATGTGAAGCTGAAGAGCTGAGCTTCTCATAAAGCATTTTGAGGTCATGTTTGATATTTAATTATATATATGTATATATATATATATTTATATATATATTTTTGTATCGGAAAATAGAGATGCTTAATGTCTATATGTATCACAGTCAAAGCAATAATAATAAACCTTACTTGATATGCATTTCTCGTTATTAACATCAGCTTGTGCTGCAGGAACGATAAACAATTAAAACAGGCAGATTGTGCTGAGCACAGTGCTGTCAAAGTAGAAAAGCAAGCACTGATGATGAATTCCCTCATGTGGTGCGGTCAGCCGTACAAGAAGCCAACTGAACCAGGGGTCATTTGGAAGCGAACTGAGACCTGCAAGGTTTGGTGGACCGAGGTTCATTTGTTTAGTGTGGACCCGAGTACGGGTGGATCTGACAAAATAGATCGAACTAAAAAACTAAGATAACATTAAACTGCAGATTCTATCAAAGTTCAGCAAATCTGAATCTGAAAAGTAAAATCAGTAAAGAAATAAATAATAATAATGATAATAATAAAAAGAACTTAAATAATAAAACTAGAAAAGTGCAGAGTGATTGCGCAACTTAAGCAGTTCCCAGGTGGTTGTTAGGGTGTTGCCAAACAGTTACCATGGTATTTTAGGTGGGCACTAAGGTGTTGATAAGTGGTTGCTATAATATCCCAGGTGGTTACTAATGCGTTGCTAGGTGGTTGCTATGGTATCCCAGGTGGTTGCTGGGGTGTTGCTATGGTTAATAGGATGTTACTAATGGAATTATATCAACATGACATACTTTGGGTCCGCAAACTTTTGCTCCCCATTCATTCTTATTGGAAAAAATATTCTCATTTAACATTGATTGTATGACAACTGTACATCCGTTCACATCCATACAAGCACACCATTTCCAATAAGACTGAACATTCTGGAGTTGGACCAGCATCAGTATCTCAAAAACTACGGGACGAGTTAACGGTCAAAAACCTGACAGATAATAATAGAAATAAAAACTAGAAAAGTGCATTTCTTGAAAAAAAAATACAGAGTGATTGCGCAGCTTAAGCAGCTGCTAGGCCTGGTTTTAAGGATAATGCTGAACGGTTACGATGGTATTTTAGATTGCAAAGGTGTTGATAAGTGGTTGCAGTGGTATCCCAGATGGTTGCTAAGGTGGTTGCTAGGTGGTTGCTGCAGTATCCCAGGTGGTTGCTAGGGCGTTGCTAGGAGGTTACTATGGGTTCCCACGTGGTTACTCGTATGATACTAATGGAATTGTAACAACATGACACACCATTCATTCCTAAGGAAAAAAACAATTCCCATTTAACGATGACTGAAAACCATACATCCAATCAAAAAGCTGCGTACAAGCACACCATTCCCAATCAGGCCGAACATTCCGGTGTTGGAACACTGTCAATATCTCAAAAACTGTGAGCCAGTGGTCAAAACTCTGGCAGAAAAAATTTAAACAATAATAATAAAAAAAAATAATAAGAAGATACAGTTGGATAACAATAGTGCTGCACATTGTTTTGTAATGCGCAATCACTAATAATCACATCTTCATCTGACACGACTTGATTTGTAAACAAGGAGGCAAACGTCTATGTCTGTATGACCGTGAGGCTAACGTGTCTTCTCAACGTGTGTGACAGGAACAGGTAAAGCGAGTGTTTGAGAAGAGGACCATGCTGCAGGAGATGTTTGAGAAAAGGAGAGTCAGTCTGAAGAAGCTAGCCGCCAAGCAGACTCGTCCAGTCCAGCCAGTAGCCCCCACGCCTGAAGCTATCAAATCACCTCCTTCCTCTCCAGGTCAGTGCCTGTCTGACACAAGAGTTTTGGTCCTTCCTCAAGAACACATTTAAGAAAAAGATATTAGTGAATGAGGCCCAAAGTTATTAGCTGACATTTAAACCATGATAATTGGCCATAGTATTCTCGTCCAGGTGTGTTCAGCTGTCTGATGATGTAGCGTAATGCCTGGCCCACACTAGAGGATAATCGGGCTGATTTTGAGGCCAATTTGCTCCTCCCGACAAACGCAAAAGGCCTCCCGATATCAGGCTGTTTGTTTGAATCTGAAGTCACGTTAGTTTGCGAGAAATCCCGCGAGGCTTTGAGGATCGGAACTGTTGGTCAGGGCTCTTGTCTATGTGCGCGATCTGAAAGTGTGCGGTGTTTCATTCAGGGCAGATCGTTTGGTGTGGGGACTTTGATGACTAACAACGATCAAGGACAGAACATTGAAATTTACCGTTATGTGTGGGGTCTCTCACGTTTTCAACATAGGTTCGGAGGAAGCTTGTGTTTGTGTTGCATTGTGTTGTGTTTGGTAGCACGTGAATGGGGAGGTAAGTGGAATTGGTGGAAATATTGAAAGTTTTAAGTGAGTTGCATGATGTCTTACATTGTACAAAATACTGTTACTGAAATTGGTAACACTTTCTATGAATGTCGCCTTTGTAAGCATCTATAAACACATTTATAACATGTTATAATGTATTCATAAGGCATTATAAATGTGGTTATAAATATTTATAGAAAAGAATTACACTGAATTACACTTTATAGCCATGTTTATTATACATTATGAATTGTTTATATAATGCATTATAAATAGTGTTAATAACATGTTATAATGTCAGTGCCAAAGAAGTCAGTCCCAGCTTGGAGAGCGTAAAGTAAAGACAAATACCAAGCTAACGGTGGTGAACATTACCTTTCCCACATTGGGTAAAACACTGATGGCAGCTCTAGTTTAAACTCTGACATTTGAAGCCTGTAATGAGCTTTACTGTGTATGTTTTAGTGTTTCAGTAAATCCTTCAGTAAATACTTCAACTTGAAGCCTCACTCTTAACACTGGAGGAGGCTTTAGTACAGTACGCTTCACTTTACTTAGAGCGGACAAATACAACTTATGAGCTCTTATAATTTGTTATGATCAGTGCTTATAATGTATTAACAATTCATAAAGCATAATAAACACGGCTATAACATATAGTACATTTTAATATTTATAGCTATGTTTATAATGTCTTATGAATGCATTATAACATGTTATGAATGTATTTATAGATGCTTACAAAGGTGACATTCATAGAAAGTGTTACCCTGAAATTTAGGTTCACTGTGTCCAACCAGCCTACAGGTTCCCTTCATTCAAACAAAACAGCCCAGTCCGTTAAATGAACAATGACAGTCTCTTTCTACAGGCTTTGTTTCTGCAAAAGTAATATCTCTCTCTCATTCTCTCTCTCTATGTCTCTCTCTCTATGTCACTCTCTCTCTCAGCTCTTAGGAATCGTGAAAAGAGCTGTGCTAATAAAGACTCAGAGGGAAGCAGTAACAACAATGAAGTAAGACTTTTTAATATATTTTTTTGCACAGTTTTATTTGTTTACACCATTTATAATTTCTAGGTTCCATTAACAGGAAAAATTGACCAACAGAAATAATTCAAACTTACTTGTAATCCTGTTACACTTAATGAAGGACTACTTTTTAAAATAATTTTCTGTAAAGTTATTGTTTTAGGAATATATGTTTTTGTCACAGTAATGACTATAAAGAACTGTGTACTACTACACTCATCTGGTCAGTGGAGACATATTACACTAACTGAAACCCCCAAAAATGCTACAAAAAAACACAACAAGCTCACCTGTCAGTTTTGATTGGCTGTTGATGGGATTGGTTTAGATTTGAGTCACTAAGCAACAAAAACTACTAGACTACATTCAGATTCCAGTGGGAAAAAAACTCCAACTGGCCTGAAACTAGATTGGCAGGCGGGACATTTTTCTCAACTTTCTGTACCAACTGTCCACTCCAGCTGCCCCAAAATCTGCACACTAGGACCATCACAGAGTGTGACTGTGAATCAGGGCTGTAATCGGGGTAAAAGTCATAAAACAAATCCCGTCTTCAGTAGTGCTCCTCTCTGTGTGTAGGTGTGCTCTGAGCAGAACGGGGGGAGCAGCCGTACCGCCTCCGTGTCCGACGAGGAGGAAAACCTGGCTGTCCTTCGCAGGTCAGTCAGGAGCCTTAAACGTCAATATGATTTGATTTGATTACTTCAAGTATCATTTTATAAAATACTCTGCACAACTGTTACATGAGGAACTACTTACACAGTAGTGGAATAATGAGCAATGAAGATAAAATACACCAAGCTTTCTTTTAGACTTTTGTTATGGAAATTAATTCCCAACAGGTAAAGGAAAAAAAGGAGAAAAAAATTGCAGTCATTTGTTCTTTTTATCCTTATCTGTTTCTGGCAGAAATATGTCAAAATCAATTTGTTAATGATTGAAGTCAAATTTCTCAAAATTGCTTATTGTCTCTACATTTAGAGTTAAGATGAAATTATGACCTGCTGTGTCAAAAATAATAAGTTATTCTATTTCAAGAAAGTCAGTAACTATATCTCAATAATTAGTCGTAATATAGACACACTTAGTAATAATTTCAAGAAAATAAGTAGTTATTTCAGGATATTAATCAATATTTTTAAAAGTAAGTCATTACTTCAACATAAGTCAAATTTTTTTCAGAAAATAAGTCATTACTTCAAGATACTAAATCAATAGTGTGTCAATATTTAAATCATTATTTCAACATTTTATGTCACAATATTGAGAAAATAAGTCATTATTTTAATTACTTATAAATTAATTACTCATAAAATAAGTTAAAATCCTGAGAGAATAAGTGATCAGCCATTAATTTGACACAGTGAGTCAATAGTTTGAGAAAATGCATTATGTCAAGATACTAATTCCGTGTTTTAGGAAAATAAGTCAATATTTTTAGGAAATATGTTACAAATTGACATAAGTTAAAATCTTGAGAGAATAAATCATTATTTTAGGAAAGTCATTACTCAAGACATTATTTTGACACAGTAAGCAAAACTTTGTGAAAAGAAGTCATTATTTCAAGATACTAAGTCAAAATTTTGACTGTCATAGGCATTTTTTTTCTCCTCTATATGGCAGGAAAGGGCTTACATAGATGTATATATATGTGTAGATACACTATTAAAATTTATCAGAATTTAGTTTTTTAATGTTAAATTCAAATTCTAATGCTCCAAAATTGATACAGCTGAATTGCCAACTTCACACTAATGCATCAATGCACTTGTACACCCCTACTTACTGAGACTTGTGTGTTTGCAGGCATGTGATGAATGAGTTGCTGGAAACAGAGAGAGCATATGTGGAAGAACTGCTGTGTGTTCTACAGGTACAAAACCCTTAAGTCTCACACTTCAGCTCTGACTTTAAAAACAACACCTTTAATTATAAAAGTATTTATTATGTACTGAATTTATCTCACAATAGTAAAGGCAGAGAGTGCCAGAAGTCATTCAGGATCAGATGATATAGAACAGGGGTACTCCTGGTCCTAGAGATCTACCACTCTGGAGAGTTTAGAGCCAACACACCTGGCTCTAACATTCAGGTGTCTCTGAAGACCTTCATTACCTGGATCAGGTGTGCTAGATTAGGGTAGGAGCTAAACTCTACAGGGTGGTAGATCTCCAGGACCAGGATTGGGCACCCCTGGTATAGATGAATGTGTTAATGTGCTCCACAGGGCTATGCTGCTGAGATGGAAAACCCTGCCATGGCTCCCCTCATCCCTGCCGTCCTGCAAAACAAGAAGGATGTGCTGTTTGGCAACATGCAGGAGATCTACCACTTTCACAAAACGTGAGTCCCATCTACTGGAGAGGAGCTTTGTTTTCTGGTGCTGGAATTCATTATTAGTGTTACTGTTTGTCAGTGCTTTGTACTGTGAGTGAATGGCTAGACTTCTTCCTCTCTAGTGAGTAAAAGGCAAACATAATGCCAACTATAGTGCTTTTCCTTGTATGGTACCATACTAATCTGAATCCAGAACTGTCCGTACCCTGCTCGAGTACCTGCGTTTGTTTCCCACCACACAATGTTCCCGTGAAGAAGATGAGGTTGTGTAGTGGCCATCTGATTTGCCACGTGATGTTAGTTTTAACAGCAAACACTAAAATCAGCAGCAACAATGAATGAGCTTTGAATTCTAAGTGTATTTTAGCTTATTGTCCTTATTAAAGAAAACATTATTGGAATATGAATCAAAATCAGTTTAGAATCCAGCACTAAGAGTAAGTACTAAATTAAAATTAAACCTAAATTAAATTAAAGATTGTAGATGTACTACTTTTTTGAATGACTAGTGAACTTGTTATTTAAAAAATGTGTGAATTTGTGTTTGGAATATCTATGAAAAGTGTTTTGTTTGTAGTGTTTTGTTTGTAGTGTTTTGTTTGTAGCTTGCTAATAGGGGCTGGTTGCTGCAGTTTGAGTGCGATGTGCACTGAAGAAAAATATATTTCTGTAGTTATTTCAGTAAATTTCAGTCTCAGGCACTCTGCACATACAAGTACACGGCCTGTCTGATGTAAACTGCATGCTAAAATCACCACAGCTTTCACAAACTCACCTCAATGTATTAGTCGAATAGTCTATGCAACCCCTAATTTAAACACTACCATCCATCTATCTCTCATTCTCTTCCAGGACATTTCTGAGGGAGTTGGAGACTTACACAGATTGTCCCGAGCTCGTGGGTCGCTGTTTTCTGGAGAGGGTGGGTGGTGACGAGTAATAAGTACAGATGGAGTAAAGCTGTTACCAGTGAGGCCAGCTGGTTGGTGATTTGGCAGTTTGGTAATGCCGTTCTGCTGTTTTCTGTAGATGGGAGACCTGCAGATTTATGAGAAATACTGCCATAATAAACCTCGATCTGAGAGCCTCTGGAGACAGTGCTCAGACTGTGCTTTCTTCCAGGTAATACACGCATAAAGTATGGCAAGAATATCACAATAGTATATAATATGTATCAGAGTGTTTAATATTGTTTTGCAGACAAGTTAGAACTGATATCAGCAAAAAGAAGTAATTCCATATGTGAAAAAGGCTATGAAAAACTATGAGTACAGTGATTTAGGTACAACTATTAGAGGTTAACATAAATTAATATGGGGTTCCCAAGTGGCGGAACCATGTAAGCGTTGGCCGTATCATCAGGAGATGATGGATGATGCTACAGTAATCCTTGGTCAGGAGTCCAAGAGAGCACAATTGGCCTCACTCTCTTTGGGTGGGTAGGATGACCCCCCCCCCCATCACTCAGCACGATGCTCGTCAGCGCATTTACCTGACGTAACAAAACCAGCGGTTGGCTCTTTCCTCCAAGCATATTCAGCTGTCCAATGATGTTGCATAAGAGGCAATTCGAAAAGATCTGATGGCGCTTCACAGGTCTCAGAGGAAGCCTGCGCTAGCTTTCGCCCTCCTAGCGCTGGTGGTATTGTGTGATTTGGGGAGTCCTAACTAGTAGGTGGAATTGGGTTCAACTAAATTTGGGGAGAAAATTGGGAAAAATAAAAAAAAGGAATATAAGATAATTATAGGTGAATATAATATGTTATAAGAATATAAGTGACTATACACTAGTTGTTGTTGTTTACAGCTTCTTGATCGAAATCCGTCACTTTATGATCCATTTTATACCACTGAACATAATCTTAATAAAACCCTTTTTGACAATGGTTGAAAAATAAGCTTATTAATGCTTATTAAATGGGTCATAAACCCCATAAAACATTAATAAACCTAACACATCAATAGAAAGGGCAATAGTGACTTGACGCTTGCTTAATAGTGAGCTCACATTCACCTATACTCTTAATCTTTATCTTACTGTGTGTTACTTTGTCTTTGCCATCAGTCAGTGTTAAACCTGTCAGATACTCATTCATCAGATGTAACAGATCACTGGTGCCCTTTTTTTATTTATTCAAAATGTGTTTATGACCTAATTAATTGTCACTGTAATAATAAACATTTATAACCTAGTTTTAAAACATTAATAAACCTTTTATAAGTGTAGCATTATTGTAAAGCCATTGTTGTTCAGTGCTCTAGAACTGCTAACCACAGTCTTAAAAAAAGATGGTTCTCCAAGGGTGCTTTAGTAAAGGGAGTGGTTCTATGTAGCACCAAAAAGGGTTCTTCATTTCACAAGCCTGATATTGTAACAGCCGAACCCTTTTTGGTGCTACATAGAACCATTCTCAACCATGCGACCATACGCAACACATTCTCCATCAGTTTGAAGAACCATTTTACCATGCAAAGAACCATTTAAGCATGAAATACTTCTATGTAGAACTCATGGTTCTAAATAGAATCATTCCCTAAAGTACCCTTGAAGAACCATCTTTATTAAGGGTGCAGACCCTTGATTATCTCAGGACAGTGCATTGTAACATAATTAATTGTGATGACGATAACATCTCATCCACTCCTAATGTGAATACTAACTTTGTGTGTGTGTTTTGTGTGTGTGTGTGTGTGTGTATGTGTGCTAATAGGAATGTCAGAAGAAACTGGAGCACAAGCTGGGCTTGGATTCTTACCTGCTGAAGCCTGTTCAGAGAATTACTAAGTACCAGCTCCTACTGAAGGTACCCCAATATGTGTGTCTGTGGGTTTTATATATATATATATATATATATATATATATATATATATAGTATATTTATATATACTCTTTAATAATACCCCTGATTTTAGGAGAAACGCTGGATGAGCAGGTGTCTCCAAATGTTTGGACATATAGTGTACTTACATACAAGCCATACATGCATTTGTGAGCTCCTGCTGGTGTGGGTTTCCTTTCTTTCAATGATGCAACATATTGTTATTACATACACATACATACATATTGTTGGTGTTGGAACGTAACCTTGCATCTCCAAAATGGTAACTTTATAAGAGAATGGAGAAAGTAAATGTAACGAGATTGTTTTTCCAGGTATTTTAATCATTTCTGTTGGTCTGTTCATCACGGAATTTTAACACAAGTCAAAGGCAAAAGGCCAAAACTGGACAGCGGCAATATATATAATACATATGGTGCATACTGTTCTTACGTTTACCATCATCTAGCTAGATTTTGTTGGTGATGATGCATGAAAATGTATCACTGAACTTTTTGTTCGGTCTTGCCTGATGGAAAACGTTGATAAAAGTAGACAAAGCTATACAGATATGAGCTTTTGGAGTTTATTGCATTAAAACTTTGTGTGTGTGTGTGTCTGTGTGTGTGTGTGTTCTAGGAGCTGATTAAGTACAGCAAAGGCCGTGAAGGTTCAGTGGAGCTGCAGGCAGCTCTGTCCTCCTTGCTGGGCATTCTGAAGGCCGTAAATGACTCAATGCACCTCATCGCTATCACAGGATATGAGGTGAGATAGACACACACTGTGCAGTGCGATGCGCAAAGAGAAATGAATCCTGTCCAAATGCAAAAGAGATCACAGTTGTACACTCTGTACACTAACACTTACATCAGGGTTACACAACAGTCACACAAAAGACAAGTGAATGGAAATAACCTACTAGTCTGCCGTCAAGGGTTATAATAATAACTGCTGCACCATTTAACATGGAATGGGAGAATTCTAATAGGAAGCCAAGTGAAGTTGTATGCCTCCATACTTTTGTATGGTTTCATCTGTTTTCTTGATTAGAGGATGAGGCAGCTGCTATGTCTACTGCCTTGATAGCAGGCAAGTCTTTCAATTCTGTGGAAAAATCGCTCCTCTTCATTACATAAGGATCACGTCCAACATATGCTGTGCTAGTGGATGGTTGTGGCGAGAGCTGTTTCACGTCTCGTCTTAAAGGCACAAACTCCTGCCCCACAACGAGGTGGAAGCCAATGATGTAGCAGAAATTTCTAGGAGGCATCTGAGGTAGTCAGTCAGATTTCAGGCAAGGCAAGGCCCTGGTCACACTGGCCACCCCTTTAAAGCCATGCATGTTTTGAAATTTGTGACTGCAGCCTTACATGCATTCGTGAGCTCCTGCTGGTGTGGGTTTCCTTTCTTTCAATGATGTGCACAAAAGTGCCCTCGGTGCTAATAGTGCCACCTTGTGGAGAATCTGAGTTGTGAAGAAAATGAATAAACTGTTTATTTCACCAAATTAATGTTTAAGTTCAAATCTTTTTACAGTTAAAATCACAAATTGTTCCACACTTTTGGATGAACACATTTTAGAAGTAGTATTATGGAAGTTATTTCTCAGTGCGGCACTGTTTTAATTTGTGTTACAACACTTGCGAGTTTTGCAGCACCAGCGCTACCTGCTCAAAAAGGTTACATACAGCCCTGCAGTGATGTCTTCATCTGGTGGGTGAAACACTGTTACTGATCGAGTGATATCAGGGGAGAAGAGATGTAGGCTAGTGCACAGTTCACATGTTTGAGAACTTCAAATTCTGTATTTGAAATTTTGAAATATTTCGTTCCAAAACGCTACAGACCAATTTCAAGAATTTTCCTTTTTTTTCATGACAGTACTATATTATGATAATCAGTGCTATATTATGATTAATATCACCTTTTTTAGAGAAATAAAAAATGTGTTTTCCATTATAGGTTAACTATTATTATTTTTAAAACTCATTCACACTTGTACAGCATTTTGAAATGAAACTCTTCATATATTTTTTTTAACTTCTAGATAATATTGACACAGTGTGAAGAGACTTGATGAGAAACTATTAAAACAGAAGACTTTTTGATCTGAAATCTGCTTTCCATTGTTACTCAAAACGATAGAATGCGTCACAAACTGAAGATTCCTCTTCCCATTCCAACCAAGTCCAAGTGTGGTTTTGATCTTTGACACCTGGCAGGGTAACCTGGGTGACCTGGGCCGGCTGCTGATGCAGGGCTCGTTCAGCGTGTGGGCGGAGCACAAGCGTGGCCATGTGAAGATGATGGAGTTGGCGCGCTTTAAGCCCATGCAGAGGCACCTGTTCCTGCACGAGAAAGCTCTGCTCTTCTGCAAGCGGCGTGAGGAGAGCGGCGAGGGCTACGAGAAAGCGCCGTCCTACAGTTTCAAACAGGAGCTGAGCGTGAGTGTGCACCAGCGGGGGCTTCTTAAATTTGGAATTACTTGTCATAATCAATTTTGTTAATTCTGCCCACAGGACACAATTGGCTGGATATTTTTGGTTGGTGGACTATTCTCAGTCCAGCAGTGACACTGAGGTGTTTAAAAAAAACTCCAGCAGCACTGCTGTGTCTGATCCACTCAGACCAGCACAACACACATTAACACACCACCACCACGTCAGTGTTACTGCAGTGCTGAGAATGATCCACCACCCAAATAGTACCTGCTCTATGGTGGTCCTGTGGGGGTCCTGACCATTTAAGAACAGGGTGAAAGGGGGCTAACAAAGTATGCAGAGAAACAGATGGACTACAGTCTGTAATTGTAGAACTACAAAGTGCACCTGTATGGTCAGTGCATCACAAGCAGTTGCATAGTTGTTGCATGTATTGTTAATGTGTAACTACACAGTTATTAGAGACACTTACTATAAAGTGGGACCCAGATAAACTGACTGGCTGAAGGTAATTGTGCCTTTTCCATAATTTATTTTGCCACATTACTTGGTTAATCCTTCAACTTAATCTGCCCTGTCAGCAACAAGAGCTTGTTTATAACTGTGAATACAAAAAGTCCATCATTTTGAAGTCCATCACCTTCAAAACTGTATAAATAACCCAGAGTGTAGAGGACCGTTCTTTATTCTTCTTTTCTCTGTTAGATGCGTGCTATTGGAATCACTGAACATGCCAAAGGAGACAATAAGAAGTTTGAAATCTGGTCCAGCTCCAGGGATGAGGTGTACACTGTGCAGGTGTGTTTGTCTATGTGTGTATATTTTTCTTCTGCTTGATGTGTCTCTATTAAATGGCCACAAATCAAATTTCCCCAGAAAAGTCAAGGGCCTGACTAATACAAGCACTGTGTGGCCGATACCAAGGTTATGAATTCTTATAACCAATCGGCCAATATAATTTTAAATTTAATTTATAGCCATAGACTTTAATTTGATACTTTTGTACTAAAGCTGCACTATGTAAGTTTTGCTGAATTTTGGAGACCTCTGTGGTGGAAATGTGCAATTGCACACAAAGTAAAGAAGTTTTGCAATGTGAGTTGTGCTTCGGCCCCCTTCCCCGAGCAGATGAATCTGATTATTGTAAGAGAATTCAAAGAGAACTCAGTCAAAACTTGTTGAAGGATGTGTCTTCTGAGGATGTGAGTGGATTATCTACTAATGTCACTATTATTATCTACATCATCATAACATTGATTTGCAATTGAGGCCTAAACATCGAGCCGGACCTTTTTTGAGCCTGTGCATGTGACATTAATATGTAAGGATGTACGACATGGTCAGAAAAACTCCATGCCTATGACTTTTAAGTTGTTTTAGGCATTATAGCGTGGCTCACAGCAGCGTATTCACACCATATTTTATGCTTTTTTCTCCTGCTACTTCTTTCAGTTTTAACAGAAAATCTGACATAGTGCTGCTTTAACCAGTACTTTTGTGACTGACATGATTGTCAGTTCTCAATTATCACACTTCTTTAAATCAAAAAACAGCAGATGATCCTAAATACATTGTAGCACTGGAGGTGGAGCTGGTTCTTTGCAGTTCCAGTTTCCGTTAATTAACCAATAAATGAATATTTATACATTAGTTCTCTTCATAAAAAAACGATTATTGTGTTATAACATGTTATTTCCATGTTAAAGCTACGCAATTCACACAAGTCTATTTGAGATCACTCAACAGTTTGATGCAGTTTCAGGCTAACGTGTGATGATTTAGGTAGTCGGGTCTGTAGTGGTAAGATTGTTTGTGGCTAAACGATCACTTTAAGGCAGGCTTTAATATCTGTTTGTACTTATGTTGCACAGGCAGCGTCTGAGGAGACTAAAACTATCTGGGTGAGAGAAATTCGGAAACTTCTAACAGGACAGCTGGAGGCCTGCAGAGGTAAAAGGGGAGCGACAACATGAGTTATTTAGATAAGAAGGGTTTGTTAGTAATACTCTTTTGACTAATTTGACTGGGATCAATGTATGTAAGGAATCCATGTAACACACCAGTATGTGGTCAAATAAAAAGCCAAGCGAGTTCATTCATTTGTTTTACAGAAGCCAGCCAGCAGAGGACTACTGATCAGTTAACCTCAGAGAACAATTCACTTGACAGGTGAACATGCACACACACACTCACACTCGTTGTCTCATATAAGCTTGTGATCCATATGTATATGTAGGTATTTACACCAATCAGCCATAATATTAAAACCACCTCCTTGTTTCTGAGCTCATTGTCCATTTTATCAGCTCCACTTACTATATAGGTGCACTTTGTAGTTCTACAGTTACAGACTGTAGTCCAGATAGTCTACAGTCTGTAATTGTACAACTGTAAAATGATAAAATGGACAGTGAAGTGTAAAAACAAGGATTTTAATGTTATGGCTGATCGGTGTATATGCAATAATTATATTTTAAAACATTTGGTTATGAAAATATACAAATACATACTTTTCCTCTTGGAATGTTGGAATACGTTTAAATGTAAGGTGCACAGTGGGATCTTAAGACTATTGTTGTACTTTTGAGGGTACCTTTGTATTGTTTGTACCTCGATGATCAAAAATGTACCTGCACAGTACCTTTTTACTGACAGTGTATATGCAATAATAATATGTCTAATTTATCATTTATATGTAACGAATGCTCACCAGTCATGGTGATCTGCTGCCTGGAGAGTTTAGTTCCAACTCGTCTGGCTTGAATATTCAGATGTTTCTAAAGACCTTGGTTACCTGAATCAGGTGTGTTAGAATAGGGTTGGAACTAAACTCTCCAAGGAAGAAGATCGCCAGGACTGGACTTGGGCACCACTGATATATATCGCTGCTGTCAGAACAAAACCTCTATCTCCAAAGTGGTAACTTTATAGGAGAAGGAAAAACACACTTTACTTTTAATGTAAGTCAATGGAACCAGACATTTTTCCAAGTAATTTTGGGCCGTTTCTTTTGCTCCATCCTTCATGAAATTTACACACAGTGTAAAGACTAACGGGAATTTTCAAATTATATTAAAAACTGAAAACCAACAAAAATGCAGATACAAGGCTTTGTTCAGAGAGCAGCGATATGTAAGTACCTTTATGTAATAACAGGCTTCATATGTAATTAGCTATATTTAATTATAACATGTTCCATGTTATGTACAAGTACACACACATGCAAATACAGTAGCAATACACAGAACTAATTAATCCCTGTACTATATATTCACAGACTCATGAGGGATGGGCAGAGCAGTATGAGGAACACAGAGATGGAGAAGAAAGAAGAAGAAAGCAGCAATGAACCAGGCAGCCCAGATGGCAAGAAAACAGAGAAAGCAATGGGTGGGTACAAAGATAAACGAGTGAGTGTTTAACCTCCTTCCTTCATTGAATGTTTACATGCACTCAATAATCTGACCATACTCGAATTTCTGCAGTTTCTGATTATTCAAATGGTCATGTAAACAGCGTACTCAGATTTCTTAGATCGGAGTAAGGTCTAGAAATCTGATTAAGAAATCCGATAAAGAGAGCTGGATTTTAGGTCAGTCATCAGATTTCCACGCATAGAAACTCTTACTCAGATTTGAGTCTGCACATGTATGAAAACAGACCGCAGTACCGGAAATAAACAAGCTGCGTTGACGTGAGGCAGCAAAACACTTTAGGAGCAGTGCTGAAACCGATTGCATGCTTGATGAAATGAAGGATTTAAATATTATCTTCTAGATGATTTATGTTCATATTTTCAGGTAAAGTGGTTCGATGTATAAAAAAAAGCCGTGACATGAAGTTTGAGTTTTACGTTACGTTTACGTCACGTCTTCTTCTGTGAGTTTATTGGCTGGTTGTAAAGCAGAAATCTGATTACTGTCTGACTCATGTAGACCCAGAATTTCCCCCTTATCTGATTACCCAAGTGGATGTAAATGCGTTGATTGGATTACTGACAAAATCTGATTTTCTGCAGTTATTGGATTATTAAGTGCATGTAAACACACTGAGTGTTGAAATAGTCTTGATTTATCCGCTTCTTTTTTGTGCACCACAGGTACTTTCCCCAGCAGTGAGACCAAAGCCAAGCGGCAAGAGATCAAAAGTGACCCAACTCCATTAGGTACCGTATCCACACCTGCACACGCTGACTTCTCTTACTAACAGGGTCTGATCTATTGCACATTGGCTGTAAGTTTTGCCGTCAGAGCTCTGCTTATGAATGAGGAGGTTACTGGTGTTCAGGCCCAATTGGCCTTAAGCAACATCATACTTGGTGGACCCCCATCCACCCCTGTCCTATTATTTTGTATGCCAAAAGGAAAAAGAATGACATAAGTAAAAAATCTGTGGGCTCGTTGTGCTTTTTAACAAACTACTTTAAAAAGTGGTCCTAACCAAGAAAGTATGTGGCTGGTGTTTTTAAATTTAGACAGTTTTCCTCACCCTAAATGTTGTTATTCAGCCAAGATACTGTTGGCCTCCGAAGTTTGCTTCTTTAGTTTTGCACTGGAGCTACAAGGCTAATGTAGCTAACAAGTTAAGCTTATTAGCAATCATTATTAGCATTGTGCAAACTGCTTCCATAAGGCAAGACACTACAGGTGAATAGCGTAACTTTTTAAATTAATGCCACAATTAATCTTTGCCAGTTCATTACTGATATTCTTATGATTAATTCTTATGATATAAATGTTTTGTATTTGATTTTTTTTTCAAAGAAATAACATTAATAAATGCAAATGAGACCTTATCTAATTAAATATGCATGAAGACACACTCCAGAGAAAGGATTTTACAGAACAGATTGTAAAATTTAATTGCTTTATTGTCAAGAAAACAATATTCACTGTTATTGTAGAATATTTTCTATAAGGTAATTTATAGTAGCATAAATCCAGGTATGAGCAATATAGTAAGAACTCCTTTGGTAATATCCTTCAGAATAGGTTTAACAAAGGATATGCCAAATTTCATTAAGGTAAGTATTCTAGACATTGAAATTTTTGGTTCTAAATGTAGAGAAGAGCTCATTTTGAGAAAAAAACGACTTTAAGAATCAGCCTTAGAACTGTATTGCCCAGTGAGATCTCAGAAAACAAGCACCACTGGTGGAAATGTTGTTGCTGGTACGAAGCAAACAGACAAATTAGGATATTCTAGTTAGTCATTCTAGTCATCATTTCTCCCAGTAGTGTCTTGCCTTCAGTCATCACATATTTGCCTCAAACTACGTCGACTTGTTAAGTAATCTCAAATAGACTTGGTATATCACTGTTGTCGGAGCAAAACCTTGTGTCTCCACTTTTGTTTGTTGTTTGTCATTTTCGTTTTTCAGTTTTTAACAGGATTTGAAAGTACCTGTTACTCTTTACATTGTGTGTAAATTTCATGATGAATGGACCAAAAGAAACGGCCCAAAATGACTTGGAAAAAAGTCTGGTTCCATTGACTTACATTAAAAGTAAAGTATGTTTTTTCCTTCTCCTGTAAAGTTGTCATTTTGGATATACAAGGTTTTGTTCTGGCAACTTTGATATACTTTCTGGCACTGTATGACATACTGTTAAGTATAAAAATGGACAAAATGACATTGCATAGCTAAAAACAAGAGCAGAAGCCACACTTAAGTCTGAATTTCGTCCATTCTTTTGTGAATTTTATTGATAACAGTATATCATGCAGTAGCATTGCTTATGTCTTGTTTGATCGTCTACATCTCAGGTAAGGGGAAAATTGTGCAAATTTGATTTTGGGTCAGCCTGTCACTCTAAAGTTCTTCGAGCTGGAACCTGAGGTGTGGTAAGCAATGAAATCAAGTAATCCAGACATACTGAAGTGTGATGCAGGCAAAGCTTTATTTTTGGTACTATGAGGACCTGAAAGACAGCTTGTGTGCTATGATAAGTCATGATGGCACTCTGATTGGTCATTCTCCTGTCAGAAACAGGGACACACCCCCATTTGGGCGGAGTCAGGCGGTTAAGTACATCCAGCCTGTTTCCGAATCGTAGGAGAGGTACTCGTTCAATCGACGAAAAGTCACTCTCGCACACACATGCACGCTCGTACATTTCGGATGGTATCGGGGTAGCATGTGCTTGTAGGTCTGTATGTAGTGTGTGAGTTCTTTTCTCCACTCTGAGGTCCTCACTGAATTAGCACGCTACAACTCTTAGCATGCTGTGTGTATTACACTGGTTACCTGCCACATGGTCACTGTTATGTCTCTTGCCTCTGACTGTTACAGTGAGGGTTTGGTAGTAAGCAGGGGTTAAACTGGGACTGCGTAGTTCTCAGCATTGATAGCATGGAAATATGATACTCACTATATGACCAAAAGTATAAGTACACCCCTCCTAATGATTGAGTTCAGGTGTTTCAGCCACACCCATCGCTAACAGGTGGATAAAATCAAGCACATAGCCATGCAGTCTACATAGACAAACACTGGCAGTAGCATGGGTCGCACTGACGAGCTCAGCGACAGTGTCATAGAGATGCCACCTTTGCCATAGACAACGCAAACTCACAGAGCAGGGCCACCGAATGCTGAAGTGCGAATTCCAAACTGACTCCGCAAGCGACATCAGCACAATAGCTGTGCATCTGGAGCTTCAAGAAATGGGTTTCCATGGCCGAGCAGCTGCACACATACCTAATAATACTATGCACAATGCCAAACGTCACTGGACTCTTCGGAGTGATGAATCATGCTTCACTATCTGGCAGTCTAATGGACAAATGTGGGTTTGGTGGACGCCAGGAGAACACTACCTACCAGAATGCATAGTGCCAACAGTAAAGTTTGGTGGAGGAGGGATAATGGGCTGGGGCTGTTTTTCAGCCCCTTAGATCCAGTGAAGGGTGATGTTAATGCTACAGCACACAAAGACGTTTCAAGCAATTATATGCTTCTGTGTGGCAACAGTTTAGGGAAGGACCTTTCCTGTTTCATGATATATGCACAGTCCTCCTTTGGAAAGAATGGTAATGTCGGCTGTGAGCCAGACCTTTTTGTCCAACGTCAGTGCATGACCTTACAAATGCTCTTTTGACTGAACCAGCACAGATTCCTACAGACACACTCTAAACTCCTGTGGGAAGCTTTCTCAGAATAGTGGAGGCTGTTATGGCTGCAAAGGGGGTGGCGGTGGAGGAGTGCAACTACATATTAATGGCTGTGTCTTTGGAATGGGATGTCCAACAAATTCATATAGGGGTGCTGCTCATGTGTCCACATACTTTTGGCCATATAGTGTATCTGTGGAGGGGAGTTTACAAAATTCTATAAACATGCAAAAAAAACAAAAAAACAAAAAACAAAAGATGGACCAGTTTAACCCCTGTTATTAAACGTTCTCTCCACCTGTCGACTGTACCATCATGCTTTCGCCTTCTTCTACACTATTACACTTAAAAAGATGGTTCTTCAAGGGTTCTTTAGTAAAGGCAATGGTACTATACAAAACAATTTCATGCTTAAATGGCTCTTTGCATGCTAAAATGTGTCTTCAGATTGATGGAGAATCTGTTGTATATGGTTCTATGTAGAACCTTTTTGAAAATGGTTCTATATAGCACTGGAAGGGGTTGTTCTATTGTTACAAGCTTGACATTGTAACAATAGCAGAACCCTTTTTGGTGCCATCTAGAACCATTTTCAAAGAAGAGTCATATACAACGTATTCTTCATCAATCTGAAGAACCATTTCACCATGCAAAGAGCCATTTCAGCATGAAATTATGTATAGAACTTGTGGTTCCAAATAGAACCACTGCTTTTACTAAAGAACCCTTAAACAACTATCTTTTTTAAGAATGTAGACCATCACGTTCTCTAATGATGCTCTTACTTTTGTCCCCTCTCTCAGGATGGAATAAAGGCTCGCTCTCATTGGATGCCTCTGTGGAGCAAGATGGCTATTTCAGTGCCGAGGATCATGTGACCTCTGACCCCGAAGAGGAACAAGAAAAGAAACTGGTGTGACCACGTCACCATGTCATTTTGTGTGTGTGTTTGTGTCAATGGACAGTGGAAGGTATTTTGGTATAGGGGTTCCTGTCTGTACAATTAAAGGAACAGTTTGGCGAAAAAATCAAATTTACACGATTTTCTAGTCATCCAACGATCGGCCTAGACATGTTTAGTGTCCAACTTTTGCTTTAGTTTAGAATAGGAATCGCCATGCTAACAATGCTAACAAACACTGGAAGTCAGTAGTCACCCAAACCGTTTCCACAAATAAATGCCAAAGTTTTTATATATTTGCTTCAAATTACATCAATAAGCTATGTAAACTTAAAAAAGAAGTTTAGTAAAATGATACGAATATATATCTATATATCTCTATATATATATATATATATATGTATATGTGTATATATATATATATATATATATATATATATATATGAATATCTTATTTTGAACAGAACTTTAACTGGAACTATATCTATCTATCTATCTATCTATCTATCTATCTATATATATATATATATATATATATATATATGTATATATATATATATACACATTATCATCCACTTTCCTGTACTATTCCGCCTACAAACTCTGGGAGGCCAGGGTGTAGGGGTAGTTTGTATAATGTCACTATGAACTGTCTGGGCGTGGCCTAAAATTCTGATGAGGGCTTGTGATTGACAGCTTTCGGTCCAACAGTTCCAGTCTGCTACATCACTGAAGCAGAACCAAACACAACAGTCTGAGTGCTGAGAAATAAAACGGGCTCTGTATTTTCGGGTGGTGTTGTGGAACTTGCCCTGTCCACTCACTAAAAACAACATCCAGCTTTTATTTCGAGACGTCATAAAGAAGGTTCTTATTCACCTTCCTGCTGGATGCCCATCCAGGGAATGCTGGTGTGGCCAGTTGACCAAACAAACGAACGAATGGACAGTCTGTCAGTTATAGCTCAGTTATGCTTGCTAGGTTAGCTTTCGCTTGTTTGTTAGCTTTCTCATGGTGCATTTCTTGGAACAGAGAGAAGTAGACCATTGTTTTGTTAAAGCTGTCTTGAAATCAGTGAGCATACTGCTTATATATGCAGAGCCCAAGATTAGGACCAATCACGTTACATCAAAGGAGGAGAATATTGGCAAAATACCTCCGTCATTTGTGGGGCATTGTTATTCACAGGACATACTTTGTACATTGTGTGCCCGCAAGAGCAAGATTAGCTTACTCAGAAAGAAAGAACAAGCAAATTCAGGTTCCGCGGGGCTTTGAACCTCTTTTTATCTGATTATTACCTTTATTGAAGGAGCCAGTTTCCTCTCTTTCAATGATGCACACAAAACCTACTTGGCCCAAGGTTACTGAAACTCTTTTCTCTCTCAGTCTGTAGAAGGAGCCGAGTTTGTGAGAACCGACGAAGAACCCAAACAGCCTGCAGAATCTGAAGATGGACACCACTGAGAAGAACTTGGCAACATGTAAGATCATATGTCTTAAGGCTGTAGACCTCACAAAACTGCAGGGACGCAAAACGGTGTTTTGAGTTAGGGTTTACAGACGTACACATTAATGGCATGCATTTCCTTTTTATTTTAATTTGGATCATTCACATCAGTTAGACCTTGTCACGTGTTATAACGTGTTGAAACATGCACAAATAACTCGCACACGAACCTGCTGATGCTCTCCCCGCTCACTCTACTATCCTTTATGCAAATGTGCTGAGCAGCTGCCAATCAGATTGTTGATGTGTGGTGCAGAAACCAGTTGTGTCACACTCATAGTCAGGCTACATGCTGTGAAATGTTTTCAAAAAGTAGGACATTATTGTTTTAATGGATTTTTTAAAATTAAAAAATAACAATATTACTAATAATATTAAGCCACTTTGGGGCTCAGAACTGGCCTATAACTCTACATATACTTCATTCCAGGGGTTTTTGTGACATGCCCCCAAAACAGCCAGCAGTGGGGAACACTTGCTGTAACGAAAGGCAGAATTAACTTTAACAGTGCATGGCTACTGCAGATTAGCGTAAAGACACAGGTCAGACTGTTATTTTACAAACCCTATTCCAAAGAAGTAGAGACAGTAGGTGACATTCCAATACAGAAAGCGTTGAGTAGTAAATTCTTTTTGATCTCCATTTAATTGAAAACAGTACAAAACCACAATTTTTGATGTTTTACTTCATGAACTTTTTTTAAAATAAAAAAAGGCTCATTCCAAATATGATGCGTGCAACATGTTCCAAAAAGTTGGGACAGGAGCATGTTTACCTCTGTGTTACATCATCTTTATTTTTAACAGCACTTAAAATCGTTTAGGGACTAAACACACAAACTCATCCAGTTCTGAAAGCCAAATTTTTTGCCATTCTTCATACAGGTGTTCAGCTGCGTAACCATATGGGGCTTTTGTTGTTGTATTTTGCACTTAATCCAAAATGCACCACACTTTTTCAGAAGACAGGCAGGCCAGTCTGGCACCTACACTCTGTGATTGCACAGCCATGTTGTTGTAACATGTGCAGGAAGTGTTTTTCCGTTGTCATGCTAAAATTAGCGTGGATGTCAATGAAAAAGACGGCATCTAAAAGGCAGCATATGTTGCTCCAAAATTTGCATATATCTACGTTTTAATGTTGCTTTCACAGATGTGCAATACACCTCCATACCATGACAGATCCTGGCTTTTGAACTTTACACTGGTAACAGTCTGGATGCTGCTTGACCAGGGGAACACAATGTCCATTATTTTTATAAATGATCTGAAAGGTGGACTCGTGAGCCCATGTGGTGATGGTCAGAAGCATGCCTCTTTTTAATGCTGTGCCACCTCAGGGATCAAAGGTCAAGGGCATTCAGTTGTTGTTTTTGGCCTTGTCCTTTACGCACAGAGATTTTTCCGGATTCCCTGAACCTTTTGATGATGTGATGCACTGTAGAGGGTGAAATACCAAAAATCTTTGCAAACGCTTGTTGAGGAACATTGTGATTAAACAGGTGGACTATTTGCTGATGCATTTTCTGGCAAAGTCTTGACTTATCCTTGCTCGTAAAGATCTAGACCTTTCCTGGATGCTGCTTTTATACCCTAGCATGATTGGATTACCTCTACTAAAATGTTTTTTTGAACATTTAACGATGTTTCTAGTCGTGACGTTTTTTGGAATTGGGTTTGTACATTATTTTAAGCAGTTACAGCTAAACACTCCTGGAATCTGAAGGTGCTGCATCCCCCTTGGCACCCACACTTCCCTCCTTTACTGTAGATCCGTGTGACACAGTTGAACTAATTCATGTATTTGTAAGGCATTATAACCCAGTAATTACATTAAAGTAAGTATAACCCAATCATGTGTGTTCATGACTTTTAATTTATGTTTATCTCTTTATCTCTTTACAGAATACCATGATCCCAAGAGCCTCTATCGAGAACACAAAGGAACTGCACTAGTCTTGGATAAGCACCTGCCATTTATACTGTCGTCCTCCCTCACCGGTCAAACAGCACAAAATGTGACCCATTTCGTCCAGCAGCCTGAGCCAAAACTTGTACACATGTTGCTGTAATAGAAGGTTCATATCCCTTTAACTGGTGTGCAACTTTATAGTGGTTAAGTCTAAAGCTCTTCGTAGTGAACACCTGTCCATGTTCCGTTTGCATGAGTACAGTCTTAACCTCTGTGTGAAATTTAGCATATCATATATGCAGATATTACTGTACTGGCTGTGACTGCACTGGTTCACTGTGTGTAAAGTCTGTTATTGTCCACAGCTGTTCTTGTTCATATGTGTATTTAAAGTATACATAAAATCCAAAAGCTGAAGTCCGTCCTCGTTATTTTTTTACTTTTGTAAAGTTTGTAACTTGCAGGTTTCTGACTGAAAGCTTTTCAATGAATCCACTCCACCGATGCCATTAACTTTAAAAGCTGCTGCCTTTTCCAGGGCCTTGCAAATGAAAAAGACAACATGACGAAATGATGAAATGAGAAAATGATGCCTAAATTATGAAAAGAAGAAAAAGGGCTAAATATAATGTCCTTTTTTAGTATTTAATGTGTTCACCTTTATTACAGCTTTCGTTCTTTTCACGAGACTCACTTTCATTTTCTCAAAGAAATCTGTGGGGATAGAGAGAGAGCATTTGTTTATGTGAGGTGATGCAGCTCTGTACAGCTTCATACTCCACCAGCAGTCTGATCAGATCAGTAGCCACGTTTACATGCGGATTGGTAATCCATTAATAATCCGAGTAATAGCTCAATCGGAATAGAAGAATTGAAGTCCATGTCTACACCTCAATAATAGAACAGACTCGACCGATTGAGGCCATTCCGAATGTAATTTCCATCCGTTTGAATGAGGCGTGTAATCCTGTAAATAATCCATTAAATAGAGAATAAATATCTATATAAACGTCTGAATCTGATTACGTTCCTGATCGGAAAGTTTGAGTATGTTCTGCACATGTGCATTTGTGTCATAACGGAAGTTTACAGTGTTCAACGTGGCGGGAGCCAGAAACTAGTCAAGTTAATGCTTTAAACTTTAGTACATGTGAAGTACATTTTCCTGTCCGTCATAATTTCCCATCAATTAAAAACTAAACTCAGGTAACACCGCTAGCACTTTTAAGAACATTTTGCTACAGGACGGCAGGGAGGCGGACCCAAGTGCAAAGATGAAAGCCCGTGAGAAAGGGTGTTAAATAAACTTGCTGAGGTAATGGGACGTGAATTTGGCACGTTGGGATTGAGGTGACCCAGAACCAGTCTCCATGGAGTTACTGCTGCGCCACTGAGAAGGACAGGCGGCAATGGGTAAAACACCTCAAGGAACGGGAAATAAAAAGGCAGGAAAAATGGCAAACAAAGGAAACGCTGAAAGCAGCGTCCTCAAACAAAGGCTGAACTAGAAACGTGAAATAAAAGATAATGAGAAAACAAAAGACTTCCACTGTAAGTATGAAAGGAAGGCAGACTTTATATTTCACATCTTTTGTGTGAAATATAAAACTCGGTGTACATTTTTCATAGAGGATTTTTGGATCGGGTTAGTCTGGGTCCTCACTCCAGACCTGTTCGCCCTGGGAGACCCTACCAGGAGCATACTGCTCCCGATGACTTAGCTCTGAAGATCCTAGACCACACAAGCCCTTCCGCCTCGACAAGGCCCCGATCCAGGAAGGGCACATAAAAGATGTGAAATATAATGGATGGCCGGATGGCCAAGCTCCTCACCCTACACTCTATCGGAGTAGAGCCGCTACTCCTCCGCATTGAGAGGAGCCAGCTGAGGTGGTTCGGGCATCTGATCCGGATGCCCCCTGGACGCCTCCCGGTGGGGGTGTACCAGGCACGGCCTACCGGGACAAGACCCCTGCAGAGATTATATCTCCAGGTTGGCCTGGGAGCGGCTTGGGGTCCCCGGGAATGAGCTGGAGGAAGTTGCGGGGGACAGGGTCGTCTGGGATTCTCTGCTCTCCCAACTGCTACTGCGACCCTATCTGGACTAAGCGGTTAATGACGATGATGATGATGATGATGATGATCTTTTGTGTGGCTTGGAGCCATTTGTTGTCTTTTTTTGGGGGCAATTACTCTCTTATGTTTTTTCCAGCCCTCCTTTCTTTTCGTTTTTTTTTATTTCATTTTTTTTTTTTTTTCCTTTTTGTTTAAATACTCACATGGGCTGCGTACCGTACCGGTCACCCCTCTACAAAGGTGTGACAAAGGGCTGCTGTTTGCCACAGCCTTAAAGAGAAGTCCACTGGTGTGTCAGGTTGGCCTAATCAGCCTGAGGGCTTCTGGGAATTGGAGTTCCCTGAAGTTACGCCTCTGCTGGCGGCCGACAGCGCAGACTGGACCCTTACACATTTACCTCCAAAACTGCGACAAAATATTTTTATATTACAAAATATTTTCTACCAGTAGACCGTATGGTTTGACACCGATGTTTAGTAAAGTAGCTGACCGGCACTTGCAATACAGCATTCGCAACAAATTTTACGTTCAATAAGCAGCCACCATTTTAATCTAAAACTAAGAAAATACCTGTTTAGCTAGGATTAGCTAGCTATTCAGCGGCTCCCTCTTGGCAGGTTCGTGTTTAGCCGCTGATAAAAACACCATTTTCTTTAGTTCATTTGAAAACGAATGACTTTCAGGACAAAGTCTGTTCCTCCTGTGTGCTCCTAACGTTCTCCTCTGTTTTGATGGGTCTATCTTTTAAATATAACTGCACTTCCTTCTAATTTGAGCTGTTTCGCTCATACATTTGTTTTTCTTTTTTTAACTCTGTCCCGTTATTAAAAATTAGTGAATTAGAAGTATTTCTTTAAAAATGAACTCAAGTAAGAGGAAACCGTACTATGATTTACAGGGAAAAATCTACTACAGCAATAAGCCACGCGAGGCTCTGTGCTACTGCGATTTTATCGCGGGCCAACATAAAATATGATGAAATACACAATTTTTCTGAAAATAAATAAGTTATTAATAATAATCAACATAAGTATTCCGCCAAGACATGTAGTTCCTTTAGCGTGTGGCTAAACCATGCAACCCTGGACTGCTAAATGTGGAGAACGTTCGGCCACCTGAACGGTTATTTCATGAAATTTTTAACTTTTTGTCGTATAACAATGAACATATGACAACACAGCACTGTTTAATGCAGAAACATTCACTTTATAAGTAGTTTTTAGTCAACAAGTTACCACCACGAGTCTTACTAGCACCAATCCAAGAGCGCCCCTTTCCTCACACTGGGGCTGAATCTCAAATGGCTCCCTGCTCCCTACATAGTGCACCATGTAGGAATTTAAATACTGGACTCCAACGGTGCATCATACAGCTAAGGAATAGTCATTTGGGATTCAGTCATATCCATACTGAATAAATGATGCATTATTTAGCTGCAGTGGGTAGAATTACTAAACTTTCATAACTAGCACACTATTTAGGAAGTATGGAGCCGTTTGGGATTCAGCCTGAATTTGATGCTACTTCTGACTGAGACATGGACATCTGTATGTGAGCCACTCAAGTGACTTACACACTGCTGTTTCACAGTGAATCATATTGTAGGTACATTAAGTCAAGCCTGTGATATTAATGGAGTCGTTTAGGCTGTCGGCTTTTAGCTTGTTAGCTAGCTGACCAGCCTAGTTCTAGTTAAGAAAATAAGCTGTAAGCCCCTCAGTTTGAACAGAACCAGGTTCTCATTTCATCAGTAGACTCGGTGCTCAATGTGAGAAGGATTAGAGTAAAACAGTCCATTGACAGCACAAGTTTTTCGTACCGTGGTGCAGTAATACACAGTTCAGTTGTTGTGAGGCCGTCATTGGTGTGTGTATATCGTGGGTTTTACAATGGCTTTGAATGCGGCTCAGCCAATCAGATTTTGGGACCCGAACTCTCCGTTTTATCCCTTAATCAAGTACATTAAAGAGAGTAAATGTAATTTGTTACTTTCCACTGCTGACACTACCATGTCAGTGCTGAGAAAGACCCACCACCCAAATAACACCTTTTTTTCTAATATATTTTTTTTTAATATAAAATAAAAAGCCCAGGAAAGTAAAACAAACAAAAAAAAAAAACAGAAAATGACAGGAGGCAGTCCACCGTGATGGGTACATTCCACTGCATGCATGACAAAACATAATGTGTGCAACATACATGTGCATGAGCGTGATACAAGTATGCATTTAAGTTTCAAATCACACTAAATATTGATAATAAGAAGAAATGACTATTCTGTTTGATGTGAAACGATTGTCTCAGGAACTGAGATGATTATTACAATATCTAAGCAAATGTTCATTATTATGTACAAAGGACAGTTTTTCCACAGAGATTTCACTGAATATTGTACAAAAACAGTTGGGGTTACATTTTAGAATGAAATAACTTCAGTTGATGATCAGCTGAGATGATTTAGCATGGCTCTGGCGTCCCTCAGCGCCTCTCTCTTCCTCTGCAGCTCCCTCTCTCGTTCCTCAAAATCTGCAAACACAAAAAGACAAGCGACAATCTTAATAATTTACCAAAAATGACATACTGTATAAATGTGTATGATTGACTGTGTGATGTTGAACCTTGCTCCAGTTGTTTGAATATTGCAGGGAGCTTCCCAGATGCTTCCAGTATCCTCAGAGCGACAGCATAATCTGTGGAGTTAAAAATAACAAAATATATATATATATATATATATATATATATATATATATATACACACATTATCACCAGACACATCAATGTCTTTTTGTTACAAATAATAAATAGTAGGGATTAGGGCTGTACTATACTGACAAAAACACACAATGACAAATGATGTTTGTTTGAAAGATGATATATATTTTGTTGGGCAATGATTCTAGAGGTATTCTTCTAAAATTGGAAATTTTTTTGAATACTGCCTTTACAAAGTGTAACTTGGGCACAATACGGATACTGACTTTCTGTATTCTGAATATGTATTCCCAATACTTTTATACCCTGTACATATATATATATATATATATATATATATATATATATATATATATGTACAGGGTATAAAAGTATTGGGAATACATATTCAGAATACAGAAAGTATATATGTAAGCTCACCGGACAAAAAATTAGTCACGTGTGTCTGAAAAGTACCTAATGGCATGTAATACCTCCACGAGCATGAATAACAGCTGCGATTCAATTCGGCATGGACTAGACAAGTTTCTAGATGTAGGCAACATCGATGTTCAGCCACTCTTGCATCAAAGAATTGTGCAATTCGGCCAGATTTGCGTGGATGCCTTCCCTGGCATCTTACTTGTGTCCACAGATTTTCAAGAGGATTCAAATCTAGGGATTTTGCAGGCCAGTGCAGATGTGTGAATGCTTCTGAATGTTCATCATGCCAATCAGTCACATTTGCAACCCTGTAATTGTGAGAATTGTTATCTTGGAATGCAGGGTACAGATCACACGCTTCCACTCATGAATAGACCAATTTTTGTGTGTCTTCGCCCAACCGGGCAACTTTGAGAGCAGAAGCAAACAACAGCCTCTTGAGTGCCATGATGCTCCAGATGTTCATGGTATGCAGTTCTGTGCAGAGTGTTCTTTCAGAAATTGGCTGTGAAGGACTTGCGTTTACTTCGAGAGGCAATTATTGCCTGGAAGCGGAGTGATTTTTATTCACAAGCTGTGAAACACGCCAACTGTCCCTGTCTGTCAGTTTTGTTTTTCATCCACAATTCTGATGAGAATTTCCTGTAGACTGGGATTTTTCCCACTGCTGGTCGTCCTGTATGACCATACGCTTCGATACACCTGCAAATTCAGCTACTTCCTTCACACTGTGGTCTTTGGCTGCCCAAATACAATTACTCCTTTTTGGCAATCACTGACATCTGCTTTGTGACCCATTTTCCACACATCGAACGGCACATTCACTGCACTGTACCACCTCTTCTCAATCTATGAATCCCGTCACACACCCTGCAGGTATTTATAGCCTGATCATCCTTGTGCAACATCATCTGGAGGAGCCTGAAGTTACTACCACCATAAACATGTAAGGTTTGTCCGGGGGATATATATATATATATGTGGTCCAAAACTACATGGAATAAAATTCCGTTACATTATTGTACATGAGGTAGGCTCATGTACAATGCTGTTAAAAGTTAATTAAAAGTTGTTGTTAAAAGTTAATTAAAAGTTAATGCTGTTTTTCTTTCTCCCATAACGTTTATATTTCGGAGATACAAGTTTTATCACAATAGCAATAGCAAGGCAGCAGTATGTTGGGCAGCACGTACTCACCCTGATGTGTGGCGTGCTGACCCTGCACCTTTTCCGCCAAGCTGGTGATCTGATGCGTGACCTCTGTGAATATGGCCTCTGTGCAGCCTACCTCATTACACCTCCTCCAAAAGACGGCAGCACCAGTTTCTGACACCCTTGCTTCCTCTGTGCCTTCATTGTGCTGTGGGGACATGGTGGAGCCCCCTGGTGGTGCAGTGAGGTCTAAGGGGCGATCAGTGGGTGTGGCCTTGCATTCCGGTGGGTCGTGTGATATGTCTGGTGGGTCCTGGCATGCGGGATGAGCAGTTTGCTCATCTGGATCTTCACATGAGGGTGCTGTGGGACTGGAGCGGTTGGGTGACCCTGCGGACTCAGCAGCAGCGACGACACCCAGTGGAGGGGAGTCGAGAGAGGGGCAGCCGTCTGGAGGTGGGTGTATTATTGCTGTGGTGGTAGCAGCATGGACGGGAGCTGCATTCTCGGGGGCCGATAGAGGTCCATTGCTATTACACACAGGAGTAGCAGCAGCAGCAGCAGCAGCAGCAGCACCACCACCACCACCAGGCGCAAAAGAAGGGGAACAGGGGCTGATACTGTTTTCTGGAGCAAAGAAACAAGAGCAATAAGATTTAACTGTATTAACCTCACTTAAAGCAATCATTTAATCCACTAGAAATACTCTATGCTGAACAGTGGATCAGTGGATCTGTTGTGTCTGATCCACTCATATCAGCACAGCACACACTAACACACCCCCATGTCAGTGTCACTGCAGTGCTAAGAATAATCTACCATCCAAATAATACCTGCTCTGTAGTGGTCCTGTGGGGGTCCTGACCATTGGAAAATAGGGCAAAAGGGGGCTAACAAATCAGGCCGAGGAACAGATGGACTACAGTCTGTAATTGTAGAACTACAAAATGCTCCTTTATGGTAAGTGGAGCTGATAAAATGGATAATAAGCGTAAAAACCAGGGACATACACTTAATGAAGTGGCCGGTCGGTGTATATACACCCACAACATTTCAATGTGTTTAAATACATAGTAAACTTTGTTTAAGTAAAGAAATAAAAAATATTGAGAAAAAAAAAACCTTACAGTAGTTACTGAACAGTAAGTCCCAAGATTAATAACTATATAATAAGCTTAGGGTTCAAGGGCTTAATAACTAGTACAAGTAATACTGTGACAGCATTTATGCACTTATGTGGATGTGTTTGTGTATGAAGGTGTAACGGTGGAGGCATGGAGGCGGGATGCAAATGCGAGTTGCTTTTTTTCAAATTAGAGTCCAGAAACTGAGTAGAAGTTGGAAAAACAGACAAGTCCATGACAAAAACACAACAAAACAAAACAAAGCAAAACCACAAGATGAAAGAAAACAAGTTACAGCATAACATCCACAATGCAAGACAGAGACTGAACAAACACAGGGGTATAAATACACAGAGGGGAAACAAGAAACACCTGGGACTAATGAGGGGTGGAGCTACAGGCAGGTGGAACAGATAACAAGGGGCAGAACCAGGAAGGAGACAGAGCAACAACAAAAGCACATGGTACAAGAAAACAAAAAGATACATGGCTACAACAGAGGGGAAGAAACAGACACTCAGAGGGACAAAGGGAGAATCCGTGACAGAAGGTAACACACCTGATTCAATGGAAGGTCCTGAGTCCACGATAACATTGAATGACACGTTCTCATGCCGGTACTCTGTTCGTAACAAACTTGGAGACTTGGCACCCTGAGAGACAATCGGAGAGAGAATGATAGAGCCGAAAGAGAACAGTTGGATGAATGTATTATTGTCATCATGCAGTGTTGGCAGCAGAGCAGCAGCGACATGATGCTAACGCCATGGCAGTTCTGTTTTTAAAAAAGTGCTTTAAAAATACTGACATGTTCTTAATTAAAACCACAAGTATGTTGTAGTCACATATTCTGTACATCTAGGACAGTTTCTGATTTCACCAGAGGGGGCGACAAAGCCACAAAGCCTTTTCACACTGAGTCCTAGTTTTACAGACAAAAAAAATAGTTTTAAAAACATGCGAAGACTGTTTTCACACCAAGTTTGTTGGCTAAAATCTGCACCGAAGTTCAGGTTTCTGTATCTTTTTCATTTAGTTCAGTTGGTTTCACACTACAACAGCTAAAGCGCACCAAATTACACGTGTGTGTGTTTTACAGGTCAAGAAATTTAATTAAAAAAATTCTCAACAAGAGCAGTTTTATTACACGTCTCCTGTTTTTAGTGGTGGCTCATGCTGCAGGAACAATATGGAGGCCTGGGACATCAAGATATCTGTATATGTTTAGTGGGCCACTGCCTGGCTGCCTGTTTTGGGTGGCAGGTTATGCGAAACGTATGCAGCTTTACAGTGGCACAACACTGCAGTGCTGGGTACGTCACCACCATAAGTGCCGTGACTTTTTCCGACTGAGACAAAACAATAATGCGATTACTTACCCATATATTAATGAGGACACAGATTAACATAAATCCAACAACTAGCATGTCAACTGAACTTCTCATCCAACAATGGTGTCTGACCTCAAAAATGCTCTTTTGATCGAATGCACTTAAATTCCCACAGACAAACTCTTGTGGAAAGACTTCTTACAAGAGTGGAGGCTGTTATAGCTGTGAAGATGGGGCAACTCCAGATTAATGCCCATGATTTTGGAATAGGATGTCCAACAAACTCATATAGGTGTGATGGTCAGGTGCCCACCTTCTGGCCATAAAGTCTGTCTAATAGAAAGCCATTTATGTTCAGCCATAGGTGGCACAACTGCACTATTTGGGGTATAGAAGGCACATATATATATATATATATGATTTATGTAGTGCTCTATATAGAGAGTACTGAGCCATTTGTATTTAGTCATCGCTTGTCATCTTCTTATTGTATTTTATTAAATAAAAGGGACAGAGGAATTGGTTATGGTATAAATTAACTGTCCATTTTCTGTCAACACAGTGCACAGACTGAATCTAATTAATAAACAGTCCAAACTTTGTGAAGCCTGTTTTATTATAAGGTACGTCAAATGTATTTGGTTGCTCCCAATCCAGAATGATTGTGTAATGTGCTTGTCCTACCTTGTCGAAAAGTCCTGTCGTAGCGTACATTTATATTAGCTCCCTGCATAAAACTATAGGTACCATATCAAAAGCGCTACCTGCATTTAATTTGTAGGAGGGTAAGTAGTAATATAAAGCTGAGTCTGTACAAAGCACTTGAATAAGGCTGAATTAACATCAAAACACAATAAACCTTAAGTAATACTAGGTTCCACCTAGTGGTTGATGGAGGAACTGCAGGATGGCACATCGTGTGGCATGGTCCACAGGCACTCACCTCCTCCACGTCTGTTTCATCGTCATCAACACTAGGAAAAGGAACTCCTGGAGAAAAAAATAAGTGTTTTAGTATTTATCTAACGCACTACTGTGATGACATAGCCATGTTTTTGTCTTCTACAGACATAACTACATGCTGTAGTTACCTGAGATATCTGCTCTGGGCTCCTCCTTGTCCCTGTTGTGTGAAATAATATGTCACAATGGATTCATAAAAAGAAGTACCTGATTAATCATAAGTGCTGCCTGAGTAGCTAACATTCAGAAGCAGTGAGGGTGCTGTATATTGTTTACGCAAACGTGAGATGTACATACCTCTCGTCTTCAGGGACAGGAGTCGACTGCTGAGAACAAGAAGGTTCGGAACTTTAGGTCCGCAGTAATACAGACAATACAACTGGCAGTCACGTTCATGAAGTAAACAGCAAACGGGGGACAACAACTTCCCAAGCCTACTACACTCCTTGGCCTGGTCCAAATTATAATGGTTTTTAATGATGGTTTTGAGCTGGACTGAGCCCAGATTTAAACCCTATAGAGAATATTTGGTCACATATTAAACACAAACTAGCTCAGCACTGTTTTTTAAAACTGTTTAAAGCCTTCAGTGCTGAGTGGAGAAATACGGACTCTTCTTTCTGTAAAAGGTTGTCTGCAAATTTACACACAAAACTTCAACATTTGAAGAAATCAAAGGGAAAAAATCGAAGGAGAACATACTTCTGCACATTTTAAAGCTAAACTATGTTTATTTGCTGAATTTAACATATGGGGAAAGAATAAAACATAAAATGTGACCTGTGCAAAAGTTATGGCACACGTTATATTTTGTTCTTTTGTGAATGTTAAACTCAGTATTTAAATATAAATTTGCAGAAATGTCCTCTGTTTAAGTGTGTTCACTGTAGAGGATGTGGTAACGTAATTAGGCAAAAATAAACTACAAAATGTGGCCTTTGCAAAAGTTATGGCACATTTTATATTTTGTTTTTTTTTCTACTACATTAAACTCAGCAAACACATAAAATTAAAACTAAACTAAAACTAAAATGAGCAGAAACGTCCTTTTTAAGTGTGCTCACTGTGGAGAATGTGTTAATTTACTTCAGAAAAAATTAAACATAAAATGTGGTCTGTGCAAAATTTATGGCTCATTTTATATTTAGGTTTTTTTTTCCAATATACTTGTGCACTAAAACTGGCAGAAATGTTTCAGTGCGTTCCCTGTAGAAGACGCGTTAACCACGTTAACAGTCAGTCGTGTGCTGGAGGTTAGGGAACCAGCCTTGTGACCGGAAGGTCGCTGGTTCGATCCCCTGAGCTGACAGTACGTGACTGAAGTGCCCTTGAGCAAGGCACCTAACCCCCAACTGCTCCCCGGGCGCCGTGGATAGGGCTGCCCACCGCTCCGGGCAAGTGTGCTCACTGCCCCCTAGTGTGTGTGTGTGTTCACTAGTGTGTATGTGGTGTTTCACTGCAGGGATGGGTTAAATGCGGAGGTCTAATTCCGATGTGTTCACTTTACTGATCCATTTTGCAAACTGGTCATTTGGCCGTCCCTCTGTCCACTCCAGTCTAGCCTTTTAGTACATCTAGGATTCATTTGAAAGTCAAACACAGGTTGTTTTTCTTATTACAAACTCTGAATTGAGTTCATGAGCAGATAAATGTTTATGCTGTCACACTAAATGCTGCTCCACCATAGGCAATGTTGTGGTTGGGGTACACAGCCTATTTCCCTGCAACATAAAAGAATAAGAACTAAAATCAATAGCAAATTAAAACTGGAGCCGTGTGTGGTGGGACTTACCCCATGCTGTTTTGGAGGGATGATGTCTTCCGGATCTAATTCTATAGGTCCCAACGTGGGGTCAATGTCAATAGGTTCGTCTGAAGCACAGAACAGACGCTTCATTCAAACTTCTTAAAAAGCTTCAAATATTGAGTACTTTTAATGTGGTACTTGTGTCAAGGCAAATAGAGGATGCTGTGCTCTTGCAATAGATTCCCTTAAGTCATATAAAAGTTATACGGGCTCTAACTTACTATGAACATCAAGTTTATTGACCAGTTAGCTGGCCATTTTATCACAAACACCAACCATAAAGGTGCACTTTGCAGGTTCACTTACAGACTTCAGTCTCTCTGTTTCTGCACAATTTATCAGCCCCCCTCTAACACATTCACCAATGGAAAGGGTCCACTATAGGACCATTGCTGACCATATATGTAAGAATATAAAATAAAGCATGGGATGTTTACACCTTTGTTTACACCAAGAGACAGATACAGTCATTACATTAAAAGGAAAATCCAGTGATTTTTCAATTTTCCTGCATAATTTTATAGTTAAGATGTAAAGAGAGCCATTCAGAGTGGTTTGGCTTGAAATGCTCTGTTCTTAAGAAACTGACCGAGTCAGAATTGTTCACAGTGGTGGTGATAGGAACCAGACGTCCACCTCTAAAAGCTCCCTCAAAGAAGAATTGTTTTATGATAATTTTGAGACTTTTTCCAGCCTTAAACATATATTTTTTTAAATCCATTCATGGTGCAGAGGTACATGCAGGGTGTTGTAAGGGAAAATGGTCCCTGAAGAAAATATTTTTTTTATTATAAACATAACATAATAACATATAGAAACTCACTGGTGGTTTTGGATAGTAAATAAAATGGCCATGTTTGTGTTGTAGACATTGTGACCCCTGGTCTGGTCCTATCAGCACCATATATATATATATATATATGCCATTCACTCAAGCTGAGTATGTTTTATTTGTGACAAGAACACAGATTTAACCAAAATTAAATATTTGAAACTGTAATTGTATAACCATCATGTCTTATAAGTTAGTTAGGTTAGATTGAGATAGTATCGGTACTGGTACTTGGTATCAGCTGATACTTAAGGATCGGGTATCGGTTTCGGAAGGGAACGGTGTATCGGCCAATCCATAGAAGGAACTGGTTCAGTAAAATAAGCTAAACTTCTCATATTGCTTTTTGGTAGCCTGAGAGAGCTGCAACTGGGGACTGTTGCCATGTCAGTGTCACTGCTGTGGTGAGATGGGGGCACCAGCCGAATAATGTCAGCTCAGTGGTGGTCCTATGATATTCCTTCAATTCGACTGACGAATGAGGTGCCTTCATAAACTGTGCAGCAATAAAGAGGCTACAGACAGTGGAAACCTACAAAGTGCAACTCGGTTTATACATGAAACAATCAACATATTCTTCTAAGGGGTTTTCCCCCTCGCTGAAAGACAACTCACCAGAGTCAGAGATAACCACCTCAGACTTCCTTTTCCTGCTTTGGAACCTTAAAGACACAAAGTAGGTCATCTGAAATGTGTGATGTTTCTCAGATTTATAGATTAATAGAAAATAGCAAAAAAAAACAAAAAAACAAACCCATACATACATTCCCCCAATATACAGTCCACTCCATAATTATTGGCACCTCTAGTAAAGTAAAAAGAGTTATAAGAAATTTAAATTAGCTAAGTGAATTAGCTTAATGTCACACTCAAAAAATGAGAAAAGTCCAGCCTTTTTGAAAAAAAATCTTCATTAAGAAATAATTACCGAAACCACGTGTGGCACTCCTGCATTTAATACTTTGTACAACCTTTCCAATAAAACAGCACTGAGTCTTCTCCTATAACATCTATAACAACACAGAGCAGGAAATTTGAGCCCATTCCTCTTTTCACAATCTCTCCAGACTGTCCAGGATCATAGGTCCTCTGTTGTGGACTGTCTTCTTACCATTGTGGGACTAATAAAGAATTATCTTATCTTATCTAGAACACAGCTCAAGTCAAAGTCCCAGTAGCGCTTCGCAAATTACAGCTGCTTACGTTTGTGGTCAGATGACAAGAAAGGCTCTCTACTGGTACGCCTTCCAAATAACCTGTTGGCATGGAGGTGGTGTCTGATGGTAGTTCTGGAGACTTGGTGACCCCAAGATGCTACTTTTTTCTGTAATCCTCCAACAGTGATCCATGGGGATCCATGTTTTGCCTCTCTTTCCATCCCCTTCACTGTGTGTGGAGGCAAAAAAAAAACTTGGGTCCTCGTCCAGGCAGGTTTGTCACATTTCCAGTTGGCTGGAATTACTGCCATAACTGTTAATACAGGCATTTTCAGGTGAGTAGCTTTTTTTTTAATCCCATTTCCTGACTTAAAGGTCAACATACATTTCCATATATATATATATATATATATATATATATATATACCCCAGTTATTGAAAGTTTTTAATGTTTTGTTAAAAATAATTGTTTCTTGAGACTTAAAGGTTGGATTTTTTTCAGTGTGAGATCAAGCTAATTCACCAAAAGGTGAATTTATTATAACCCTTTTTTGCTTATCTTTACCAGGGGTGCCAATGATTGTGGAGAGGACTGTATATCCCATTATACACACCCACACGTACCTTATATATGTGCTGGAATCACTCTGTTGAAAAAATACAAAAGGAAAAACAGTGAAACAGTAAAAAAAGTCGTGTCATTTGGTTAATTAAAAGGCAACCTTTATTCTATGTATATCCTGAATTTGACCTGGGATGAGGCCTGTCTGCCGTCTGCTCTGTTCAACCCTGCCTTACTGCTCTGTCCTGCTGCTCTACCTCTCCTCGCTCCTCTCTGACCTCCACAGCTGATCTTCTGCTGCAAAGCCAAAACTCTTCCACTCCTTTGTTGCATGAAGACAAATATGCTGGGACAATACAGAGGGGCAAAAGCATTAAGCCAGGGGTCTCAAACTCAAATTACCTGGGGCCACTAGTCAGGTGATCTTCTAAAAAGGGAGGGCCGGTTGAAAAAATACAGGGGGTTAAAGAGTCCCATATATATTTTTTGAACTCTAACTACATATACATTTGAGAACATGTTTATTAAAATTGTTCTGTCATGATAAACCACCACAACCACTATGACTACTATTACTAGTAATAATAATATTTTCATTACGAATTTTGTAACTATCAGTACTATCAGTTTAATAAATGGTTTAGTGTTTGATTAAATTGAGTAAACTTACAATTAACAGTAGAATTATATCTTATTGTAACGACACTAGTGTTCCTGCTGAATGGGTGTGAAGTTATTGTGGGCAGAGTGTTGTTAAATCTGTTCTCTGTGGATTAATTTGATAATTCCTGATTTAACTATCAGTCTAAAGAGATTAACAGCTAAGTTAGTTATAGCCAAACTACGGTCTTGCTCGCTCAGTGTGCAGCGTTTGCATGTAGTGCTCTATGTTTGTGTTTTAACATCAGTCTAAGCTGATATTATATAGCTTATGGTGGGGTAACCAGACCCACCATCTGGTGGGTGAAGCAAATCTAACCGTCAGATGTGAAAAAAGATCCATAAAAAAATAAGATTTAAGGTTAAACTGTGAATATGTGACAGGCCATATGAGGCCATCACGGTTGGTAGTTTGAGACCCCTGATCTTGTTGCTAAGATTCAAGTTCTAGACCCTGGTGCTGATATGACTGGCTTACCTGGGATAAGGCCTGCCTGCTGTCTGCTCTGTTCAACCCTGCCTTACTGCTCTGTCTCACTGCTCTGCCTCTCCTCGCTCCTCTCTGACCTCCACAGCTGACCTTCTGCTGCAAAGCCAAAACTCTTCGATGTTATTGTGGACATACAGACTGTTCGGGGCAATACAGAAAGCCAAAGGCAATGCAGAGAAACAATGCCAATGCTGCCCCCTGGCCGCTGTGAACACAAACTCTAGCCACAAAACCGTTTTCGATGTGTCCCGTACCGCTCGCCCCCACTCTACACTTTCCTCAGGTTTAGGCTTGCAGCACTTTAGAAACAGTGCAAGGAATGAAAAAGAAAACAAAAAAACTAACAATATTTTTCCACATTGTGGAAAAGAGGACAAAGCTAAAGTTGGTCTCTTATTTGTCAGCTTTTTATTCAAATTTTCCGCTCCACCTTAAATGGTGCTGCAGTTACATTCTGGCACCTCATACTATTACAGTAACTGGTGCATCATTTAAGGTGGAACAGAAAAGTCGGATAACAAGCGGGCAAAAACGACACCAATGTCAGCCTCGTTGAAAAATAATTCACAAATTATTTGACAACAGTAATGATTTACTCACTCCAAGTTTCCCCCTCGCCGCTCATTATGCTGAAATATGCAGATGGTAAGAAGTGTTGAAACTTTAGTCAGCTGTAATTAATTGTCAAGCTACCTGATATTACTTGGTATAATCTACAAATATCATCTTATTACTACAATCTGTAGCTACTCAAAAAATTGTAGTAGTTAAATTAGTTTAATTTCTGCTGTATCACTTTATCATCGGCTCTGCCGCAGGCTTGGTTAAAAATAAGTCGACTCGAAGACTCCACTCCATCGATTCCAGCGGCAGCAGTCAAGAAACTTGCATCAATACCAAGCTCTGCCTTCTCAGTCACGTCCTTGGAAACACATGCACATTTGTCACGTGTTTTAGAGTAGAAAAATAATATAATAATTTACCTACAAATACTAGCAAAACTATCACGTTTCACTGAAATATTAGCCTGTTTATTTATATGAAACATAAATACCCTAATAGTGATTTCAGTATACAAATACTGGCACCTCCAACGGTTAAGAGATTCAGTGGGTACCCTCAGTACTTAGAATGAACAGAATGCACAGAATGTGTTACAAAAAACTGATTATAATGCTGATTATACACCAACCAGCCACTTCATTAAGTACACCTCCTTGTTTCTACACTCATTGTCCATTTTATCAGCTCCACTTACTATATAGGTGCACTTTGTAGTTCTACAGTTACAGACTGTAGTTCATCTGTTTCTCTGCATACTTTGTTAGCCCCCTTTTACCCTGTTCTTCAGTGGTCAGGACCACCATGGACCCTCACAGAGCAGGTACTATTTGGGTGGTGGATCATTCTCAGTACTGCAGTAACACTGACGTGGTGGTGGTGTGTTAGTGTGTGTTGTGCTGGTACGACTGGATCAGACACAGCAGTGCTGCTGGAGTTTTTAAACACTGGGTCCACTCACTGTCCACTCTATTAGACACTCCTACCTTGTTGGTTCACCATGTAAAGTCAGAGATAGTAGCTCATCTGCTGCTGCACAGTTTGTGTTGGTCATCCTCTAGTCCTTCATCAGTGGTCACAGGACGCTGCCCACAGGACACTGTTGGCTGTATATTTTTGGTTGGTGGACTATTCTCAGTCCAGCAGTGACACTGAGGTGTTTAAAAACTCCAGCAGCACTGCAGTGTCTGATCTACTCAGACCAGCACAACACACACTAACACACCAGTTTGAGACCACTATGAGAATGCTTTTCTTTTTCATCTCTTTCTAATTTAATGAAAAGAAGGTCATTATAAATTGTCTTATCAGCAAAACAATTTGAATGAAGTAGAATCTTTGAAATTTCAACATTTTCAGAATTTCTTAGTATTAGATATGGCCCTTTTTTGCTTTAAGGACAGTGTGCACCCGAGCCGGCATGGTCAGAGGTGCAAAAGTCTCTGATTAGCACCTGCAAGTCATTTGAACACAACCTTCAGTGGAAGAGATAAGACTAAAAAAACCAAATCTTTTTGTACAAAGGCTTTAACATGGAAACAATGCCTAGAAACAGTGCAGAATCTTGAATATTTCTTCTTCATTTCACTTGTCAGCTTCACTTTGTTTTCAGTTTTTCAAAATTCTAAATTGTTCTGTCGTTTATTTCCAAGTTTACATTAAAAAATCCCAGATTCTCACTGTGGTCTCAAACGTTTGGACCCCACTGTAGTTTATAAATGTATTTATTTGGATGGTCCACTGTACATGCTCTGTAGATTATCCTGTAGATGTTCTGTAGATACTCTGTAGATGCTCCGTCTATCTTTAACTAACATTCAAATAAATATCTATTAAATGTGACTGAACTAACCATAATGTTGTTGATAATCAACTATCACCAGTAAGTTTATTCCAAACTTATTACTGTTATTGCTGTTCACAATTATATTGTAGCGTCAGCACAGAAGAAGCGTGACTAGGAGTCACGTTTAAACTAAACACACTTTGTTATAGCTTCCTCACGCTTGGAAAGGCATTGCAGGGGAGACAGAAACACACATATCCAAAAATAAGAGTATAAAAAAGTAAGCTGGCACCATTTAGCCAGGCATACAATTTGCCATTTCAGAAATTCTTTTTTTGTTAAGACTTAATTGTTTTTTGAGTTACAGTGTGATCATTGAGAATTGACAATCATATTAGTCTAAAATATATTTTTTATCAGATTTTTTAGCCCCCTAAATTCAGCATCAGTACTTGTCACAGAATTTGCAAGTTCAAAGCTACACTATGTAAGCTTTGGGGATATGGAGACCTCTCTGGTGGAAATGTGTAATTGCACGCAACATGTGGAACAGCACATGGCTTCAGACACACATATCCTCCCAGGACTCAGATATGTGTGTCTGTATGTCTGTTTACTGCACACTGACCTCCGATGATGTTCCCGCATGACTGCTGTCTAGTCTGGGTCTCTTTGAGTCGTTAGATCCAGGACTAGAACGAGATGATTCATTCGCCTGCAGCCTCTCTGACGAATGCACAGAAACAAAAATACAGCCATGTCATGATTTCACTTATTTTCGCAACACTGTTACACATACAGAGGTTGTGATTAAGACACTTACCAGGATTTCTGGGGCGCTTTGGATCATGCTTTACACAGTACAATCTGAAAGAGGTTAGCAAAATATTTCAATAGTAAAATACCATTGATAACAACATATTCATAGCTTATTCTGATTCAGTGAGGCAGCAGGTATACCAAAAGTCAGAGATCATCCTTCATTTGCTTAATTTCCAGTAAAAATGGTCATTTATTCATTTTTCAGGAGATTTCTGCTGCTTGGATATTGTTGATTGGTGGACAAATTATTTCATTTCCAGTCTAAATAAAAGGCATTAAGTACAAAATATTCATTTTCCATGCGATATTTCTGAGGAGATTAGATATAAGATAATCCACTTGCGTAAGGAAGCAGAAAGTCAAAGGAAAGTAAATGAAAAAAAACAGGGATTTCCAAAACTGGAGTTCAAAAAAGGTTGAAAGCTACAGAGAAAATGGGCCTAACAACCACCTGGAAGTTGGTAGACCACCAAAACTACCACCATCAGGTAAACAGCACTTAAAGCTTTCATCTTTGAGAGAGAGGAGAAAATCAAGCTGCTTCAGATCTGAAAAAAATGCACAGCCATCCTTCCCCTGTGAGAAGACAACTCAATGCTAAGTGTAGCCCTTACTGACTGAGATGAATAAGGCAAACAGGGAAGATGCTGGTGTTCTCAAAACAATGGACTGACCATCCCAGAGTCCAGACCTCAACATCACTGAATGTTTTTGGGATTACTTGTTTCCTGAGAAGCAGAAAGGGCAACCAACTTCTAAGACTGAACTTTAGGTGGGGAAAAATATCCCTGCAGATTTCTTTGAAAAGATGACAAGGATGGAAGCTGTAATAAAGCTAAAGGGGTGGACACACTATGTACTGAAAAATCTGGTATTATATTCAGTTGTGGCTTCTGTGTAATTTTCCTATTAAACATGCTTTCTGCTTTTTTTCCTGACACTAAAAATGATTAACTTACACTTAACTGCCCACTAGAAATGAAATAAATGAAAGGTGGTCTCTGACTTTTGCACAGTACTGTTTGGAAGAGACTGTTTCCTACGTGAAGAAGCCTTTGGACACTTTCTCCACAGCTCTCGCATGGTCCTCTATGGCACATGGGTAATGGTAGGAGCGCTTACATCGGCTCATCTCACATCCTGCTGTGGCTCCCTTTTTCCCACAGCGGTGGCATCTCTAATAATGGCATAAAAATAATGGGTTTAATAATTATAATTACAACATATATACCAGCATATATAATTACAGCATGTATAACTTACCTATAACAATGATGCCATATTAATAACCAGATAGATACAAACAAAGTAACCTACTCTGTTAACAATTCAGGTCTATCTTTGGATGTGTGTACTAATGTGTGTGTGTGTGTGTAAGAGACGTACTAGCTTTCGTCCTCTGATGTACTCCTTTCTCACATCATTTACATCAAAGCCAAACAGGTCATCAAAGGATGGAGAACTCTTGCAGTAGATTCCAGATGAAAATATCTGAAAGACAGACAGACAGAGCAATTAACTTTAAATCAACTTATATATTTCATAATATTAATACATACATTCACATCTTATCAATCATCAATCAACTGTTAACAAGTAACACTTCACATTCATCAGTCTGAAGTCAGCTCAGATTTGCACCTGTTCTGTGAACATTATTAAGATACTACAACCCCATTTCCAAAAAAGCTGGGACGCTGTGCGAAATGTAAATAAAAACAAAACGCAATGTTATGCAAATCATTTAAACCCTGTATTTTATTGAAAATAGTACAAAGACAACATACCAAATGTTGAAACTGAGAATTTTTGTTTTTGGAAAAATATTTGCCTATTTTGAATTTGACGTTCCAAAAAAGTTGGGACGAGGGCAACAAAAGGCTGGTGAAGTTGTGTAATGCTAAAAAAAACACCTGGTGTTTTTATTTGGCAACAGGTCAGTAACGTGGCTGAGTACAAAAAGAGGCTGAGTGTGACGATGCTTCGCCGAAGTCCATGAGGAGACACAAAGTCACCGGGTAGATTGTGAGTGAATGGTGTGAGGGATGAAGTTGCAGGTGGAAGATATGACGACTCTGAGTGGTTCTGTTCAAACGGTGAGTGATTTATTTACAGACATGAACGAAAGCAAACGAAAACAAACGGTAGTAAAAATGTAAAAATATTAGTTAAGAAAATTAACTAAATATTATATAATATAAATATTAGTTAATAAAATTAATTAAAATATTACTGAGTCAGGTTAAATTAACCTGACTCAATAGCAGCACAAGTAAGTATATACAAGTCCATAGAACTACACTTCTGACTGGCTCTACTCACATCCCCCTAAGATGCTTCTCAGTCTGAGGTGAGTACTATTCAGCTCCCCTCCCTATTAAACCTCTCCCATACTTTTTATAGGGTGAGCCCCGCCCCTGTATCACCTGAGCCAACCCATTCCACTCCACAGGGGTGTCGCTATCCTCCAAGAGTGGATTAAAACAAGGGTAAATACAACTATGATCTAAAACAATCAATGTCATAAGGCCTTAGTATATTATGTTGCCGCTTTCTTTTCTAGGACCTAGGTTGAAGACAACACCCTTCCCATGAGATGGCCGTGGGCCCTCGGGCACACTCATGAGTGAGCTCAGGCTGCTCTGCTGACGCTGCTAGGGAACAGACAATAGGTGAGTATTACAGGTAGGTGCATTTGCGTTTGCCTCATCACAGTCTTTCAGAAGTAAAGATGAGGAGGGGTTCACCACTCTGGTGAAAGACTGCACGATCAAATAGTGCAACAATTCAAGAACAACGTTTCTCAACATAAAATAGCAAAGAACTTTTGTTTGTCATCATCTACAGTACATAATAACATTAAAAGATTCAGAGAATCTGGTGAAATCTCTGTTTGCAAGGGACAAGGCCAAAAACCAGTATTTGCTGGCCGTGATCTTTGGGCCCTCAGGCAGCACTGCATTAAAAACAGACATGATTCTGTGGTGGAAATCACTGCATGGGCTCAGAAACACTTCTGAAAACCATTGTCTATAAACACAGTTTGTCGCTACACCAACAAATGCTAATTAAAATTCTGAAATGCAAAGACAAAACCATCTATAAACAGGACCCAGAAACGCCGCCGCCTTCTCTGGGCCTGAGCACATTTAAAATGAATTGAGGCGAGGTGGAAAAGTGTCCTGTAGTCTGACGAATCAACATTTGAAATTCTTTTTGGAAATCATGGACACTGTGTCCTCTGCACTAAAGACCACTCAGCTTGTTATCAGTGCACCATTCAGAAGCCAGTATTCATGATGGTACAGGGTTGCATTAGTGCACATGGCATGAGTGACATGCACATCTGTGAAGGCACCATTAATGCTGAATCACATATACATGTTTTGGCAACATATGCTGCCATCCAGATGACGTCTGTTTCAGGGAAGGCCTTGATTATTTCAGCAAGACAATGTCAAACCACATTCTGCATGTATTACAACAGCATTGCTACGTATTAAAAGAGTCCGGGTGCTAAACTGACCTGCCAGCAGTCCAGACCAGTCACCACTGACAACATTTGGCACATTATAAAATGAAAAATATGACAAAGGAGACCTGATGAACAGCTGAAATCCTATGTTAAGCAAAAATGGGTAGACATTTCACTTTCAAAACTGTACCAATTAGTCTCCTCAGTTCCCAAACACTTACAGAGTGTTGTTAAATGAAGAGGTGATGAAACACAGTGGTAAACATGACCCCGTCCCAACTTTTTTGGAACGTGTTGCTAGCATCACATTCAAAATGGGCACATATTTTTCAAAAAACAATAAAATGTATCAGTTTCAACATTTGATTTGTTTTCTTTGCACGGTTTTCAGTTAAATATGGGGTTTAAATGATTAGCACATCATTGAATTTTGTTTTTATTTACATTTTGCACAGCGTCCCAACTTTTTTGGAAATGTGGTTATACTATAATTTATTCAGTATCTACTATGAATGATTCAGTAGTCCCTATGAATGATTCCTTAACCCCTATGAATGATTCAGAAACTGCTATAAATTATTCAGTAACTACTATTAATGACTTAGACTATAACTTATATAGTAACTACTATGAATTATACAGTAACTACTGTATGATTCAGTATCTACTATGAATGAGTAACTACTATGAATTGTTCAACAACAACAAGTGACACAATGATCAGAAGAACACAAACATACGTTGCTACTGGTAGAGAAACACATATTTAATACTAAAGGTATTACTTACAGCCAGGGGTTCAAAAACCGAGGCTAAGAGCTGAACGGTCAGGTGATGCTGCTCATTTTACTGTTGTACCTTGATGCAATAAATGTGACCTTTCCACAAGTGGATCTGGACTTAGTATCCAGATAGTATCGACTATGTGTCGGCATCAACAGATAAGACAATGAAACTAATATATAAGTTCTGAGGTTATAAGTGTGAGACACTGAGGTGTGGCCCACCTACAGACCCCAGTGGTTTAGGTGTTACTACACTGTAAAAACAACTTGTTGAGTAACTAAGCTGCCTGAGTTTTGAGTTCAATGAGTTAAAGTCCTAATAGTTAACAGAACCAACAATCTGTGTCTTCACAGAGTCTGTTACTTAATGTTTAAGCTAAAAAAAAGGATTTTTAAATGGCAAATCTTCACTGTCATTACAATTTAGTCCCAAACTAGGCCTAATAACATGCAGTAAACTGGAATAACATAGCAAATACTACACCACAGTGCCAGTTTCCTGGTGCAGAAAGGCTGAGATCACAGTGAGTGAACTGACCAGGCAGTTCTGATGTGCTGAGATTCCTCCTTTAGACGATAAAGGTCCTGTGGTTTCATTCTCATCGGCCAGATTACACAGAATACACCTCACATCTGCAGACGGGGTGTCTTCTTCATTCAGACCCATCCTGAAATCCTGAAACAGGGGCTCACACCACAGGACTATACCGAGGATTATTCACCGCCGAGAGCTCCACCTTTCACAGCCAGTTTCGGTTTCGTTTCCTCGTCAGAAGCCCAAATACAGTTTCTGAGCTCTACGCTAACCACATTATTACTCTCTGAATGAGTCGCAGCTCTTCTTACTGCCGCTCCCCAGGTAACTCGGGAAGACGGGCTGAGTCCGTTAGCAGCGAGCTGGGCTTCTGTTTTAAGAGGGATAGCCAACACACGGCGAGTCCAGCTGCGCGGAGGTTCGTTTCATAAGCGGTACATTTCATAATATATCACGAGAACTCGCTATCTTTGCGCTATCTCCGGATTTATGAAAGCTTATCGGGGATCCAGACAAGAGTAATCGACTCCAGAACGGACGACTCTCTCTCTCTCTCTCTCTCTCTCTCTCTCTCTCTCTCTCTCTCTCTCTCTCTCTCTCTCTCTCTCTCTCTCAAATTCAAATTCAAAGTAGCTTTACTGGCAGGACTGTTTTGAGTACAATGTTGCCAAAGCATGTAAAATTCAACTCAAAGCGGAACATATTTTGTAGAATTAAAAAATATATAATAATAATATATAATTAATAGTAACAATGAATAATGGTCGTTGAAATAACAGCAACAATGTTAAAATAAATAAAGTAAATAAATAAAATAAGACATTATAATACATGTTGTAAAGCTTGGTCAAGTAAATAAATAAATACAGTAAATAAATAAAAGAAGACAACATATGTTATATAGTGAAAACAATTACAATCGGTGTATTTAACCTATATACAGTGAAGGGTTTGGGGGGTCAGGGAGGTGGGGGTGTGGAGTGCGTCTCTCTCTCTCTCTCTCTCTCTCTCTCTCTCTCTCTCTCTCTCTCTCTCTCTGTGCCAGTCTCACGTATAGGCGCTCGTGCCAGGTTTCACAATAAAAGTATTTCACTGACGAGTCAAACAAGAAAGGATTGTATTAGTCAGTGGTGGACGAAGTACACAAACCATGTACTTGAGTTAAAGTAGAGACACCCAAGGTAAAATATTACTCCAGTAAAAGTAGACGTTCCTCCCTTTAGACCTCCACTTGAGTAAAAGTACAAAAGTATTTGCCTTCAAATGTACTTAAGTATCATAAGTGAAAGTACTAAAAGATTAATTATGACTCTGATGTCCTATTAGCATTTTTCTGACAAGACTCTGCTTTATCAACTCATTTTAGGTGAAAATACTCCAGTGTCACTCTCGTAACACCAATATTTTAATAGAATGTCATTAAATGTAGTTTTTATTAAATTTAAACGTTTAAATTTACTAAAAACTTGCTTTAAACTCAGGTTCACAATCTGTAGGTCTCTGTTCATAAACATAAACTGGCCAGAATGAATTTACTATAAAATGAAATGTGTTTGTATAAATTCAGAAAAAAGACACGTCAGTCACAACTGCATGTATACATATTTCTATATTGTGGTCTGTTTACACAAAGTTGGGTTTCCTAGCTACCAGAGTCAGGAGTTTCTTCCATCATTTATGTTGAATAGACTCTCCCAAACTTTTACGCTGCTGCACTGATGTTGAACGGTATGATTACACTGGGTCGGTATGACCAACAGGTCAAAACAAGCTCAAAACGAAGTGCGCACTGTGCCCTGATTGGTGTTCTTGCTTTGCGCTTCTTTCGTTTTGACATGTTACGTTTTTATACACACATGGGCCAAAAGGAACGACAGATTTCTCATAATGTAGTGGAGTAAAAAGTGAGATATTTGACTTTGAAATGTAGTGGAGTGAAAGTAAAAAGTCACCAAAATGGAAATACTTCAGTAAAGTACAAATGCATGAAAAAACTACTTAAGTACAGTAATGAATTACATTTACTTCATTACTGTCCACCACTGGTATTAGTAATATGTAATATATAATGTATGTTATATTACTAGTAATAGTAATATAATGTCTTGAGAAATGACAATCTTGTCGTTTTAAAGGTAGATCCTGAAAGAATTCATTCATTAAATTTAACTAGCATATATAGTGAAGTAAAAAGCAGAATTCTTCCGGACCCCTATAGAACAAACACAAATACAAATAATATATGTTTATGATACATAGAAAAGTCCTCCAAAGCATTGCTTGTAATGTTAATTCAAATTACTCTCTGTTACTGTACATATGGAAGGTTGTCACGACTAAGGATTACTTCTAAAATTGTTTAATCTATCATTATTTTTTATTAGTGAACTAATATAATGATGATGCACGTTTCAGTCATAAATACATTTTAAATAATAATAATAACAAAATCCAAATAATAAATAGCTTTTGTTTACATTACTTTTACATTACTTTTAAAAAAGTTCTTTATTGTTTATTAAAGTTTACAATCAAATACATTTTAAAAATATGTATTTATCAATTACAAGTAATTTTAAAATTATGTGTGTGGGGGGGGGGCATCAATATTTTTGCTTTAAGGCCTATAAGATCCTAGTTACGCCCCTGATCACTACACTTGACAACAAAACAATACTTTAAATAAAAAAACAAACAAACAAACAAACAAACAAAAAAGAAACACTTGGTTACCTCAAATTCTTACAGCTTAACCTCTTATTCTCCAGGGTATATTTTGGTTTGTCCATCTGAATTTACATGGCCAAATCATAAGGCAAATTATTCAGTAACCACATGAAATAAATGTAAATTTTTATTTTATTTATTTTATACACATATACACATGTATATACACTTATACACATACTGCTATATGCTTACAATTTACTGCTGAAAGCCAAAAACGGTCTTTAGACGCTCTTTGTATTATTTTAGAAAGATAATTTTTTTAGTAAATTTTCTTAATAAAGTTCAGCTTCTTTTATTATAAGGGTTTAAAATGACATCACCCATCTATTTGACTGGAAAGAAGACAGTTACAGCTCTCATATGACCCCCACCTTCTGAATGTGGCTTATGAAAGGTATTAAGAACATGACGAAGTGCGTTTTGGAACCACTGGTGGTCTCAAGGAGTTGAAGAGGTTAATTAACAGCTTAATTATCTCTCCAGCAATTGCTCACCCTCCATTTCAACGATTCAATGAGTTTCCCAAGAACTTCTCCAAGAGAATACAGACTTTTGAGCTTCTGTTTGTTCATCATATTCTATTTGAGTATAATACACACTGGGTATATTAGTTTAAGCCATTCTCTGAAACTTTGTGTCATTTTTGGCACTATACTAGCTGTGGATTTCCATAGCCTACAGCCATTTTTAAAATAAATGAAGCACTAACTAAACTCGCTTTATTTCTAATATAAATGTGCTTTTTAAGAGCTGTTTACATACACAAACGGCAGCCAGACAAGCGCTAACTTACTGTGAGGTCCACAAACAGCTGGAAAGTAGGAGATTCTGAGTTGTAAAGTTCGGAGTTTCTATGGGTTTTCAGTGTGTTGTGCATTACAACATTCATATTTACAGTGTTCTTCTGTAAAAACTTTACTTGACATATGCATTTTGTCAACTTGACAAAAGTAAATGACAGCTATCACTTAATGGAATAGGCTTTTATAAATGTTTATGTAGGTTTATGTCAGCTGTCATTAAAGGCTTATGTCATTATCATGTTGCCTTATGAACAAGACAAGAGACTTGCTACACTACGGAGGGATTTAAACCTTTATTAGCTCTCAGTAGAGCAGCTTTGACAGCACTTTGTCAGCTGTACATAGTCATAGTCCAGCAAAATATTCCATAATACAAAGCACAACTGTTACAGATTGTTTTGCACAGATAATTTGAGATATCTACTTACTGTAAAGTCTATACTTAACTCCTACTGTATGTGTGGTCTAAACCCAGCTGTTAAGCTTGTGCTTGTCCACCAGAGGGCGACATAGACCACATAGCGAAATCAAGGAGCTCCTTTTTGCCTTTATGCCATGTTTTTTTGTGTTTCTTGCTCATTGTTTTTGGTTGACGTAGGAAAATGTCCCTATTTTTATCACAGTTGAAATATAATCAGGTTATCTGAACTTCAAATGTTTGGACAACTTGGAGGTTTTTGTATCAAGTATGTCAGCATGTGCAGTTGTGTGCAAAAGTTTGGGCGCCCCTGTTCAAATGACATTTTGTTTACCTTCTAAGTGAAATAAGTGAACACATCCTCTGCGGAGAGCATGCCTCTGCACATTTTAACACTATTATTGCTTATTTGCTGAATTTAAGTCTTTGAGATCTTAACCATTTTTCCTATTTTTGGTTTGCCTGGTCTCCATGTGTAATAATGCTTGTATAACACCAACCCTGTAATACATAAACAAGTTATACACATCTTTTTTTTTTTTTTTCAGAACAACCTGCCCAATCAGAATATGTGTGCTGCATTGATGCCATATGAATGTATAAATAGTTGTATGACCATAAAGGCAACAGAAAAACTTCAATCAAGGGAAAGAATAAACATTCTAACCAACACACATCAACAGAGACGTCATTCAGTCACTGTTTATTTGTTGGATTTTATGTATTGGAAGGAAAAAAAAAATAATAAAAATGTGATGTGTGCAAAAGACATGGCATATTTCATATTTTATGCTTTTTCTAATATGTTAAATTCAGCAAATAAATAAAAATATGTACAAACATTTACAGAAAAATAGTATTTTCTGCTTAGTGGATTGTTTTTTAGGGGACAATCAACAAAACATTTGAATAGGGGTGTCTAAACTTTTGCACATGACTGTGTATGTGCATATATATATATATATATATATGTATATGCTATATATGCTACTTTCCTTTCCTCTGGTTTTCCTACAAAGTCATCTTTTCAAGGCAAACAAATGCCCACACACACATTTTGTATGGTCACCCCCTCAGGACATTAATTGTAGTTAATGTGACATGGAGTTATAGACCCCCTGACCTCTGCTGCCTCACAGCCCTCAAAACTGCACTCATTTACATGTTAACCATGCAGTCTCCCTCCCTCTGTCACTCTGGCATTGAGACACACAATGAGGCGCATGCCAGGCTTCAGCTTCAGCTTCAGCTTTAGCGCCACACCCTCTCCATTGTGTGACTGAGGCTACGATAATGAGGGGCTCTGTCGTTTATCTGAAAGTGACTTGACACGAATCAAAAGGTCAATTGTTCAAACGGCTTAAAGGACAGACAGACGTCGTGGCAGATGTCTTACACATGGACATTCACAGCACACGAAGTAAAATAGAGCTACA